TGAGATAGATGCACGCCTAGTCGACGGCACGCCACTGGCCATACGGGAAAAAGTGGAGCGAGTAAAAGTCCGCTGCGGGGGGAACTTCGGGTTTACACAGGAAATGCTCGCAACGACACTGGATGGGCACGACATTTTATTGGGACGTGATTGGCTGCGACGGTACAATCCATGGATTGACTGGACGACGGGGAGCTGCACAGTGCGAAGTAGTGGTAACTGGGTCGTTCTACCTCGCTGGCAGCCACCCGAATTTTCGACGGTCCAGGTCAACGCCATCACGATGAAACGGGCTGTCGCTGCTGGAGCTGACGTGTACGCAGTGGATATCGCACTAGTAGAGAAAGGGGAGCAGCCGAGTGATTTAGAGAAACTGCTGGCAGCCGTACCGACCGAATTACAGGCACTACTGAAACGGTTCCCGGGGATATTTCCGGATGATTTACCACAGGGACTGCCACCTCAGCGGGCGCACGACCATAGGATCGAGTTAGAACCGGGGGCACAGCCAACCGTACAGCGACAATTTCGACTGACATAGCCCGAGCTCGACGAGTTAAGGAAGCAGTTAGATTACCTGTTAGAGAAGCAGTTTATTCGACCGAGCTCGTCACCGTTCGCCGCACCGATACTATTCACACCGAAAAAAGACGGAGGTTTTTGCATGTGCATCGACTACCGAGCGCTTAACAGGGTAACAATCAAATCGCGATACCCCATCCCCCGCGCGGACGAACTGATCGACCAACTGCGAACAGCGCGAGTCTTCTCGAAAATAGATTTACGGGGAGGTTACCATCAGATTCGGGTCGAACCATCGGACTGCGCCAAAACAACATTTAGGACTAGATACGGGTCATTCGAGTATACAGTAACGCCATTCGGGCTGACCAACGCACCTGCAACATTTCAGATGACCATGAACGAGGCGTTTAGACCGCTTTTAGATAAATGCGTGATAGTTTACCTATACGATATTTTAGTCTATAGCCGGGATAAGCAGCAGCACTTAGTGGATCTTGAAGCAGTTTTTAAGGTTTTAGAGGAACATCGGCTACTTACCAAGGGCTCCAAGTGCGAGTTTTTTAGGGACAGGCTAGAGTTTTTGGGTCACGTCATTTCGGAGGCTGGGGTTGAGATTGACCCAAAGAAGTTGGATACAGTAAAAGCGTGGCGTCCCCCGACGAACATCACGGAACTGCAGAGTTTTTTAGGTTTTGTTAATTACGTTCGACGGTTCGTGCCCGACATGGCACGTTTAACAGCCCCACTCACTGATTTACTGCGCAAGGGGGTCGCTTTTACGTGGGGGGAGAAAGAGCATGCTGCCTTCTCTGCCCTGAAAAACGTTCTCTGTTCACCACCCGTTCTATGCATCGCTGATCCCCACCGACCTTTCGAAGTGGTTACCGACGCGAGTGACATCGCCATCGGAGCTGTACTGTTACAGGATTTCGGCGACGGCCTCCAACCCATCGCCTACGAATCACGCAAGCTACATCCACCAGAGCGAAATTACCCGATACACGACCGCGAAATGCTCGCGATCGTGCACGCATTCAAAGTATGGCGCTGCTACTTGACCGGCGCAGACGTGACAGTACGGACAGACCACCGATCTCTATAGTACCTCCGCGCACAGCCCCACCTCAACCTACGACAGATTCGATGGCTCGATTTCCTCGAGTCGAATTTTCACTATACGGTCACATACAAAAAAGGAGCCTCGAATATCGCCGACGCACTGACCCGCCCCACTGCCCAAATCCACGCAATACTACTCGCCCAGACCAGCCCACTACTTACAGGACTATTTACCCACGGCTATCAAACAGACCCATTCTTTACAGGCGGCAACTCACAGCAATTCGCAGCGGCAAAAGGAGTCTATTACGTAAAAGCTGGAACCGACCGCATCTGGGTACCAGGATACACGCTACTGCGGGAACTACTGTTATAGGAAGCACACGACGGAGTTACCTCAGGACACTTCGGGGTAGAAAAAACACGGCAGCAGCTGCAGCGGTACTATTACTGGCCAGAAATGTTGACCGATGTGCAACGACACGTGGCATCGTGTCCCACTTGCCAGCTCATGAAGTCAAGCAGGAAGCGGCCAGCAGGGCAATTACAACCCATCCCGCCTCCAGAACGTGCTTGGCAGCAGGTGACGATGGACTTCGTCACGGGGTTACCAGCTGGGGCGAGTGGGAATGACGCGATCCTGGTCGTCGTCGATCGACTAACGAAGATGGCACATTTCGCAGCATGCAGGAAATCCATCACAGCCGAAGAAACCGCCCGACTCTTCATCTCCACCGTCGTTCGACTGCACTGGATACCCGCGTCGATCATCAGCGACAGGGACACGAAATTTACAAGCAACTTCTGGCGGAACCTGTGGCAGCAGTTCGGCACGCGCTAACAATTTAGTTCATCCTATCACCCCGAAACCGACGGACAGACGGAACGGACCAATCAGATCATGGAGCAGTTGATTCGAGCCACGTGCGACGATCCGAATACGTGGGAACAGCAGCTGCCACTCATCGAGTTCGCGTACAATAACGCACCATCAGCCACGACGCAACAGTCGCCGTTTTACTTGAATTACGGACAGGACCCAACAGTACCCATGACACCGAATCCCGACAACCCCGTCCCACGAGCACAACAGTTCGCCGAGATTCTGCAAGCAGCACGGACCAAGGCAGCCGAAGCAATAAAGAAATCAAACATCATCGCTAAACGCAACGCCGATCGCCACCGCAGACCCGTCACTTACCAGCCCGACGACCTTGTTTTACTCGACACTCAGAACCTCCGCCTGCCCATCACTCCCAAACTCCGCCCTCGATACTGCGGGCCATTTCGAATCAGCCACATGGTTACACCAGTCACCGCGCACCTCCTCCTCCCTGCTGACTGGTACGTCAGCCCCTCGTTCCACGTCAGCTTACTTCGCCCTTACGTACCATCAACCAGCCAACTCCCACGACATCGACCCTCCAGCATGACACGACCACCAACCGAACCAGTCATCACCCCCGATAAGATCCTGAGCCACAGAGTTCGTGACCCTCGAGGAGCCCGAAAAGTGGAGTTTCTGATCCGCTGGAAAGATCGCACCCCCACCGAGGACAACTGGGTTCCACTGGATAAAATTGAAAACCACCCCGTCGTCACGGACTATGTGCGCAGCCGAAATTTCAGAGACATCCACGCGCTTTCGTAAAGAGGACCTCCTTAGGAGGGGGGGTAGTGTAAGGAAATTTCCTTTTCCTTACTTCGCGTCCTTGCTCAGCGCGTACATCACTGTAGCACCTCAGTCAGCACCGTTACCACTCGCGACCATCGCATCATTCATCATCCCGCCATTTTCGTACATCGCATCCCGACCTCACGGCTCGGCTGGTAACCCGCGCTCCGGGCCTACGCTTCGACATAGTCCCAACCTCAGTCCCAGGCTCGTCGCGCGACCATTACCGTTACCACTGTAGTTTCGCTATATAATGTTCGCTCATGCCTTCGCTCATTTGTACTCTTGCTTCGATAGTGCAATTCTCGTTCGTTCACTCAATTGCACTCGTAACACCTGGTTTCCAATACCAATCTCGGTGGCGCAGCCATTCTCAGCACCCGTAATCGATTAATTGTCTAGCAAAATGAGTGAAGAGATTCCCCTAACTAGTACGCCCTCCGAGACGGAAGGCTCGTGCTCCCTTCCCGCTGTCGTCAAACTCACGCGGCCCGCGGAACGCGCATCCAGTAGTCCTTTGACAAGTGGCGGCTGGAACAAGCTCGACAAGTCGTCCGCCATTTTCAATTTCCACGAGCGCCCCGTGCGCGACGCGGGATGGCGATTCGTCCTCATCGTGCCGCTCAAAGTTCTCGTCGGCCCAGGCTCCTACGCCTTCACCTCCTCTCTCTCCGACCCTCACATCAGCCTCCCATTTTATATTTTTGGAGTTCTGTTTGCACTTCCCCTCCTCTTCGCCTGCACCATCCCCGTCCCCATGTTGCTCGTCTCGTGGCTCAAACTCCCCGCTATCGCCTTCCGGGTGCTCCTACTTCTCGCCGCTTTGATTTTCGCCGTGATCAACACTATGATTGTCGCAGATTTCCTCTCAGTGCCCGCACCGCTACATACGGAGAAAATACCCCCGTCATATCATGCGCCGTTTTCCGAGGAACCCACTGGCGCACACTCTCCAGGATACAAGTGCGCATTCACTGGCTGCTCTGTGGGCGCGGAAGTTGCGGAAAGCGTGGCGGGGGAAAGCCGGGAGACGAACGAAGGCAATGGCGGGATGATGGCTGGAGAACTGGGAGAAAGAGACGGGGGGAGTGGCATGATAAATGAGTGGATGGAAGGGGACAGGGGGGGGATATGGAAGGGGGAGCGGAAGGTGAGGTGGAGGGGGGTTTGGAAGGGGGCCAAGGGTGTAGGGAATGGCACTCGGGTATGGAAGGGGTGGAAGGGGGTACGAAGTGGGGGACAAGCGATTGTGTGGAAGGAGGAGACAACAGGACGAATGGCGACAACAGCCGAAGCGCTGCGGCCACGAGCGACCTCGGCAGGGGCCTACTCGAGCTCACACTGCCCGCCGTTGCACACCCCGCGGTAACCGTTACCGCACAGCACACCGCCAACTGGTTGCGAGCCGTCCACCCCGCCGTCCACTCCGCCATCCGCCGTCAGCTGAAAGGCCCCGCCGCGTCAAACGCAGGGAAAAGTGTGCGCGGATGATCGTTGCAAGATGAGCTGGAATCGTTGCTCCTGCTGCAACCCGTTTCAAGCGTCTATCTTCTCTACTTCATTCCTTCGTAGGACACGTTGCGTGCGGAATTTCTGCTTCCGGAATACAGCGTCGCACCGCTCGACCCACAATTGGTGCAATGCTATTGAAGTTAGCGTCATTTCCGGGAAAGCTGAACCGGTTCCCGTGCCTCGGAATAGAAGGTCACCTAGTGAGTCCGTCACTCGAGCGGAGTTGAGCATGCGCAGAGCGCGCCGGAGGGCGATGGAAACCACGTGTATTCTTGGGCAGAGTACCAGACAGTGTTCCAGCGTCTCCGGATCACCGCAACACGGGCAGACAGGCATTGCCATCCACTTCTTCCTCTACTGCCTCGTCCTCCCCACCAGTGCCATGAGCGGCCATGGCTTCACCCGCTCTCTGCGCCTCTCTTTCAACATCCTGTGGCGCTTCTTCGCGTCCATTGTCATGGCCAATGCTGCTGGACTCCTCCTGAATGTCATGCTGATCATTCCCATGTATTTCATATGTGCAATAGACGGGCTAATTGTGGTGAGTGCACACAGTAAACGTTGTGAAGCATCGTGGATGTTGATTCTCATCGCAAAAGCACGTTCGCACCTTCCATGTTCAAGGTGTGTTCTCACTTGGATCCCCCTCCCCCTTCCCACCCATTGTCACTACTCACTTGCAGGTCTTTGCCACGATGCTAACAGGAGATGGCTTGATGGTGCTAGCTGGTTTTATCTTGATTAGCATGGTAATTGCCGTGGTTTCTCTTCTCTCCACCATAGCGCTCTCCTCTGTCCTCACCACAGGGGTCACCACTACAGTTCTGTGTTTTGCCTGGGATAAAAGACTTGAGCCAGAGGAGGGCTCTGATGCTGCTGGCCTGGTTGCTGGTGGTTCCCTATCCTTTGCTGATGTGAAGGATATTAGCGCAGTGTAGCATAATGCACCTTTAAAGGTGTGTTGTGCGTGCGTGCGTGTGTGTGTGTGGGGGGGTGGGGGGATAGGTACCACACATTACAATAAAAATTTTGAGTTCATTACCACGAGATGCTAAAAAGAGAAACCTTTGCAACGAATATACTAATGATACACCTGCAATCATTTGGCGGCAGAGAGCAGGTCGCTGATTTGGGATGTGTAGAAGTCAGGGCGGATAGTGTTGTCAGGGCTGTTGAGAGTTTCCAGAGTTGTGACTCCTGGGGCAGGGAGACGGGCATTACAAGGGAGAGAGAAAACAAGTTGAGGTGGGATGCAGGCGCAGAACAAGAAGGAATGCATGGGAACTGGATGGAAAATTTAAGGTGATACTTCACACTATGAAACAATGGGCATGAGCGCACCAGCAAATTACGTACCTTTGGCATAAAGCACACCAAAGAGCGCAGGGATCACACATCTGACCTGAGAGCACCAGCAGCGTGCAACAGTCTCACCTGAGAGCACCAGCAGCGTGCAACAGTCTCACCTGAGAGCACCAGCAGCGTGCAACAGTCTCACCTGAGAGCACCAGCAGCGTGCAACAGTCTCACCTGAGAGCACGGGCAGCGTGCAATAGTCTCACCTGAGAGCACCAGCAGCATGCAACAGTCTCACCTGAGAGCACCAGCAGCGTGCGGCAGTCGCCGTTCTGCCCAAAGAGGATGTCCGTGTCCAGGCGGTCGCCCACCATGCAGATCTGGTTCTTGGCTATGCCGAACCTGGAGGGTGACAGGGGTGAGACAGATGAAGAATGTGAGTGGCAGGTGTGACGAAAAAAACAGACAGCTCAATTGGCGTGGAGGTTGGCGTCCCACCCACCATGCAGAACTGGTTCTTGGCAATGCCGAACCTGGGGGGTGACAGGGTTTACCAGAGGGTGCGTGTGATGTGAGGTAGTGAGGTAGGTCACCATGAAGATGGAGGGCTTATCACATACATCAACGCCCCCCATCCCCCCATTCCCCCACCCCACACTCTCTGCCTCTCACACCCTCACATCTCACTTGGCAGCAAGATAGTCCATCATGAAGGGGACGGCTTGCCCACCATTGAGTACACAAAGCCCCCATTTTTCCACATTGCCCTTTCTCTCCTCCCCCCCCACCTCCCCCCTCCCCCTGCTGTCTCGCTGTGACTGCACCCCCTCGCATCTCACTTGGCAGCAAGGTAGTCCATCATGAAAGTAGAGGGCTTGCCCACCACGACAGGCTCCTTCTTGGTCGACCCCTTGATGGCGCCCACCATCGTGCCGCCCCCTGCCCACTCCTGTGCGTCCGTCAGGTGCGTCACGGCGTCGCAGTTGGTGGCAATGAACAGACACCCGGGGTTCTCCCGCAGACACAGCGTGGCGTACCTGGGAGGGTGAGGGATGGGCGCAACAAAAGAGAAAGGGAGAACCGGCGAGGTCAGGGATATCTCACTGGAAAGCAAGGCGAGGGTGCGTGCATTGTGGCTGCGTGGGGGAGGCGGTTTGGTTGTGACGTTGCAGCTTGGAGTGAGGATGTGTTGGGGGTTCCAAGGACACGGGAGCAAGGAGGAAGGGAAGGAGGCGGGGGGGAGGGGGGTGAGGAGGGGGGTGAGGAGGGGGGTGAGGAGGGGGGTGAGGAGGGGGGTGAGGAGGGGGGTGAGGAGGGGGGTGAGGAGGGGGGTGAGGAGGGGCGGGGTGGTGGAAAATCACAAGTAGCAGATGGTGCATACCACGAAGTGGGAAGGCGAAGGAGTTGCCGGGAAGGGGGAAAAGGCGAGTGGAGGCAAGGGGAGGGAGGGAAGAGGTAGATGAGCGGATGCCACGGCGGAGACTCCTCCCTGCAGCTTGTTGCGGTTGACGTAGCAGTCAAGCCCACCACCCCATGTAGCCTCACTAGTCCCGCCACCCCATGTATCGCCCAGCCACCCCTCCAGTTGGGAGTGCGGGATACTCACTGCAGCTTGTAGTAGTTGATGTAACGGTCAAAGCCCACCACCACCGCTCCGACCTGGAGGGGTTACAGGGGAAGGCATGGGGTGGTTGGGGTTAGAGCGGGATGCATGGGGTGGTAGGGGCGAGAGGGGGATGCATGGGGTGGTAGGGGCGAGAGGGGGATGCATGGGTTGGTACAGGTTAGAGGGGGTGCATGTGTTAGCGGGATGCACGGGGGATGCATGGGGTGGCGGTATACGTGCATGTGGGATGCATGGGGTGGCGGTATACGTTGTGCTTGGGACACCATCCACATATTCACATTACCACCATCATGCAACATGCACATACTCACATCACTCTATCATGCAGCATCCAGATATTCACATTACCACTATCATGCACCATCCAGATATTCACATTACCACTATCATGCACCATTCACATATTCACATCGCATCATCATCATGCCATCAGATACTCACGTCCGCATCGTGCTCCATATATTTTCCCAGGCCCAAGTCAATGGACTTCTTCCCATCCTCCTGCAATTCACCAGCCAGCAGCAAACCGCGCCACAGATGCAAACAGGCAAGCATAGTCAAGAAACAGAGAAACGAGGAGAAACGAAAGAGCAAAAGGCCAACATACTGACCAGTTCTGGACCTTCTGTGCAGCTAACAAGGTAAATGCTGGTGCGTGTAACACTCATTGCCCTCCAATGTACTTAATGCGGGTGCGTGTGAGACTCACCGGCCCCCCAATGTGGTTGACGCCAGCGAGGTCGAGTTCGAGCTGGATGCCCTGCTCGCCCACCACGTACACCTTCTTGTCCGCCGGGAAGTTGACGGACGTTAAATACGCCGCCGCCGCGAACGACGACGCGAAAATCTCCTCCTGAGATAAGGGACGAGGTGGTGGGGGAGAGGTGAGGGTAGGGGAGGTGAGAAGAGGGGAGGGGACGGGCACGGGTTTGGCAGCAGCAAAGGGTAGGGCGCTTCCTCGGTTTCATCACTGGCCCCTCTCCCCAGCTATACGCTCGAGTGCCTCCACCCACCCGCTACTCTCGCCTGCAACGCATTCCCTTGCAATCGAGCGTGCATGCTTCCCAGAGAGCCCATTCCCTCGGTTATGGTAAAGAGCCCACCTCGGTGACGGTGAGTCCCAGCGACTCGAACTTCTTGCCGTACTGCTTGCGCGACTTGGTCGAGTTGTTCGTCACGAACACCAGCCGCTTGCCCTGCGGCACACGAAGAAGGTTACTGGATTGAACAAACTTCACAATATTGCTTCGCCTACGTCTTCGTGATAAGTGGTTCACCTATGCGGGCTAGTGCGATTGTCTTAACGAAAACGGGAAACTCGCAGGGTAATTCGCCAAGTTACCATTGCTCGCAGCATGTCAAGAGTCTCCGGCACACCGTCGATGAGCTTATCGCCCTTCCATATGACACCTGGCGGGACAATGTCAGAGGCATGCCCATGCAATGTGACAGACACGGTGAGCACAACGGTGACTGACATGACACATGTACATTGAGTTGCGAAAGGAACAGGTTCAATCAGCAAAGAGACACGCAGACTGTGTTCGTCCGTGCATCCACCCGTGCAAATTGAGTTGTGAAAGCGACTCATGATCGCATCCGCATCCGTCCCGTCCCAGTCGAAGAGAAAGGTCTCCACGCTGTCGATCAGCAACGAGACAAACAAATTGCGATCGTCCGTGCATCCACCCGTGCATCTTCTATCGCGAAAGCCGACCCGTGATCGCATCCGTACCGTCGCAGTCGAAGAGGAACGTCTCCACGCTGTCGATCAGCGCCCGCGCGTCCGTCAATAGCGGCGCCTTACCCGCTGCTGCTGGAGAGAAACGGAAATGAGGGATGGAATGTACATGACAATCGCGATAACCGTCGACAAGGTAGTACCAGGTCGGACAAATCCGTTTAAGAAATTGCTGAAATTGAGGTATGTAATGTTCACGATGGACTTACTCGTGTGTGAAATGCTAGGAGTAGCATCGGTGAATTCCAATAGGTCTCCTGTTTTCACTTGATCTGTCAGGTTTGACCTAGGTGCTACGAAATGATTATGTTTGTCAATGTTGCCGTTGTTAATCCCTGATACAGCCGTACGTGCAGTACGGTCATTGATGCAGCTGTTCCTGTTGACCTCACATGGAGATAAAGCCGGTAATCTCACCATTGGCTGAGCTTCCGCTCTCTGCCTCCATGACGGACGACCCGCTCGATGCTCGCACAGACACAGCGCTTCGCGACGACCACCGTGCGACGGGTTGCTGTGCGTGCGGCAAAGCTAGTCGCACGCCGCTGATCGCCTGACCCTGTTGCGACAACTGCTGCGATGACGGCGACGCAGGCTGCAAAATCGCACGGGAGGAGGAGAGAAGCCGCTGTGCACAGCAGAGCCGCAGGGAGTGCGCCATAAGACGAGCACAGCAAGCAGCAGCGAAACAAAGGCTCTCCTAAATTCCACTGAAGCAAGCGACACTACTCTAAACCAAACTCCAAATTGATCAGACGATTGATCGTTTTTCCAACAGCTTGCAGAATGAAATGGCATGAATGGAATGGAATGCCTGACCAGGTTCTGGCAGGTTAGGCCAGAACCTCCACCCAATTCAAACCAAACCGAGCCTGTTTTCTGGGCAATACCAAGGTCGGATCAGTCATGATGCCGTGGTGTGTGTGGGTCTAGTAGGCTCGGAAATCGCCGTGGCGCATTCTTTTGGTCCGGAACGGTTGGTGCTTGTGGCCTTGAGAATGCGTCCCTCACGACGCTGACCCTTTGCTTCCAATTGTCACCTGAACCACGAAATGCAATCTGAGGTGGCTACTTATGACTCGCCGGTTGCAGTGACTTTTCTGGCGAGGTTCATTATCTGACGTCAATCGGCCATTACAGAACGGATAGTAAAATTCTAGTATCATGCGAGTGTGTCGAGATTGCCCGTCTTTTGCATTCAAAACTTTTTATATCCTCTCTAACCACGCGAGAAGTTGATCCTGAAAAAGGGTCGACCACAGGAGGGACGCGTCCCCTCAACGCCGAACCTGCAATCGATCATGCAAATCAAACCTCCACCGCACTAAAATTCCGCCTTTTGAACTCAAAACATTTTAAACCACGCGCAAGATCGATCCTGAGGAGGATCGATCACAGGGTCGATCGCAGGATTGATCCTGACATTTGATTCCCGCCAACTGCTTCTGCCTCCGTTCGTCTGACATTTCTGCTGGCATCCAACGAGTCTCAAATTCGCCCCATGCATAACCTCTGACATCTACCGCTACCACAAATTCCCGAATTCCAGCACTCCCAACTTCTGTTCGACGTCATTTGCTAGTTGACCATCCCCCGCCGTATATTCTAACTTCTGTTTCCGTCATAAATCGTCTGTACCCCTCGTCGTCGGTTAATGAATAGCTCCTCACAGTCTAGCCCTCAGTTCGTTATCCCAGACCACCACTTCGTTATATCCTACTTTCTTTGTCCAGGATAGCGTAATCCCTTTCGAATCAGTCCATTTCAGTGATGTCACTCCCCAGCGACACTCGTGGCACCGCGAATGCTGCTAACGGCGGTTCCGATGGGAGCGAGATGGCCGTCGGATTCGTTGGCTTGGGTGCGATGGGTGGTGGCATGGCGGCCGCTCTGGTGAAGCGAGGCTTTGCTGTGAAGGGATTCGATGTGAGTGGCTTGAAAGGCTATGATGCGATGGGCCTGAAGGGATTTGATGTGAGTCGCTTGAAGGGATAGGATTTGACGTGAGTGAACCGATTGAGTGCCTTCTTGGCGTCACGTGGGTGGGAGTCAGCGTCTTGATACACGTATGGTGGGTTCTTGGTGTAAATTTAAAGCTCGTATCCACTTTCAGTTCCATCCTTCGCCTCCGCCTTCACGTTCCAATCTGTCCCGCGTTCCCTCCTCTTCCGCCACCTCCTCGTCTCACCCATCTCCATCATTCCCGCGTCTCCTCCTTCCCCATCCTCCTCCTCCCCGCGTCTCCCCTTTCTCGCGTCTCCTCTCTGTGCTCTGCTCGTCCCACGACTATAGTTGATGGGACGCCTTGTGAGCCATTTATACGGGGATGTAGCTCAGATGGTAGAGCGCTCGCTTAGCATGCGAGAGGTACGGGGATCGATACCCCGCATCTCCATGATTGCGGGGATAGCTCAGTTGGGAGAGCGTCAGACTGAAGATCTGAAGGTCGCGTGTTCGATCCACGCTCACCGCACTTTTCTTCACCCGGTTGCTTCATCGGCATGTTGTGTAGAGCCTCTGCACCCCCTTTCCCCCTGACTGAGCTTTGGAACCGCCCCGCTCTTTGCCTTACTCAACTCCCCGTCCCCCCTCGCTCCTCTGCTTTCCTTGTTCTTGTTTGGCCCACGCTCTCACCACAGGTGTACCCCCCGGCATGCGAGAAACTCAAATCTGCGGGTGGTGCTGCTGCCGCCTCCGCAGCCGATGCTGCTAAGGGTAACACACCGCCTCTTTGCTGCTCTTCACACGTAGCATGTCATCCCGTCACGCGCTGCTTTCTCGGCCTCCTCTTTCTAAATTCTCTTCACCTCATTGCTTACAGTCCGTTTCATTTTTCATTTGGGCCTTCCCCACTCATCCCTCTCCTCCCGCATCCTTCTCCTCCATGCCTCCCCTCATGCCCCTCTCTGTGTGTCCCTCAGGAGCCATGGTGCTGGTGCTGATGGTGACCACGGCCAAGCAGGCCGAGGGGGCTCTGTTCGGCGATGAGGGAGCACTGCAGGGTGAGTGTTCGGGATGAATGAGAGTTCAGAGTGGTAGAGAGTGGCTGAGAATGGTGGAGGGCGGCAGAGAATGGGAATGTGTTAGGGACAAAAAGGGAAAAAAGGGCAGAGGGTCAGAGAAAGTGGCTGCACTCAGCAGTTTAGCAGGTGCGTATGTGTAAAGCTCGTTCTTTTCTCTCTCTCTCTCGCCTCATTTTTGTGCCACATCTCCTTACCTTCACCCGCTCCCATGCCCTCTTCTCATACCACCTGCAGCTCTCCCTCCCGGTGCCGTCGTCATTCTCTCCTCCACTGTTCCGCCTGAATTTGCACGCAGCCTTGGCACCAAGCTCTCAGGTATGATGCACTAATTTCCAAAGCACTCCCCCCTTTTCCTCTTTTAAGTGAATTCTCGGATGGACTTTTTGATCATCAGGGCCTGGTACCATCTGCTCTCTGTTTCAGCGCCGCTCTGTACCCGCTACCGCTCAGCTTGCCTTCAGCTCTCTTGTCGATTTTGCTCTCCTCTGCTCTGCTCTTCCCCGAACCCTTTCTGTCGCCGGCTGTTAGTTTGTTTTCCAAATCCCAAGAGCATCTCTTTTGTTTCTTCTAAGAATTCGCAACCCCCCTCCATTCTGTCCCTTGCCGATTGTCCGTGCGAGCAGCACAGGGCAAGGGGTGGGAGATGGTGGATGCGCCGGTGTCAGGAGGGGTGGCACGTGCTGCGGACGGCACCCTCACTGTAAGCTTCGTTTCGAGATGCTTATTTTTTCGCCTTTTGAGGCACCTAGAGAATGCACCGGTGCCTGGAGGGCTGGTGGCAGATAGGGCCCTCACTGTGAGGTTCGTTTCCGAGTGGCACTGTCTGCTGTGCATTATTAGCTCGTACCTGAGGCGAGTGCTATCATGGAACATGCCCGCCTCTCTTGCCTGCTCTATGCCCTCATCACTGTTTCTGCTCCTGACCCTCTTATCCCCGCGTTGCCTGCTGCAGATTATGGTGACTTTTGAGTCGACTCAAAAGTCACCTCTATGCCCTCATCACTCTTTCTGCTCCTGACCCTCTTATCCCCGCGTTGTTTTGAGACGTCTCAAAACACTTCTTCAAACACCTGACCCTCTTATCCCTGCGTTGGAGTGACTTTTGAGAATTCTCAAAATATCCCTGCGTTGCCTGCTGCAGATTATGGCCGCAGCGACACCTGCTGCTCTCGCCAAGGCACGCCCAGTGCTGGAAGGTACGCTTTTGGGGCTGCCTCCTCGCTCAGTGCTGGAAGGTACGCTTTTGGGGCTGCCTCCTCGCTCAGTGCTGGAAGGTACGCTTTTGGCGCCGCCTCGCTCTCACCTGCCTCTTCATCTCGCGTTGCTCTGCCTCATTCCCTCCTTTCCCCAGATCCTGCTCTAACATCCTGCTCTAACATCCTGCTCTAACATCACCCCATTATCCCCTATCCTCCCTCTCCCCGCTCTCCCCTTCCCCGGTGCAGCCATGAGTGCAAAGCTGTACATCGTGGGAGACTCACCGGGCGCAGGCAGGTGCGTGGGTGGGGGCAGGGGGGCAGGGAGGTAGGGGTCAGGGGGTCAGGGAGGTTAAGGGGGCAGGAGAGTGAGGTGGTGGCGGGGTGCAGACAGCAGTTGCAGCTGCAGCAGGTCGATTGTGCTTGGACTCACCTGTGTGCTTGGACTCACCTGTGTGCCTTCTCTCTTTCTCTCCCTCTTCTCCCTCTTCTCCCTCTTCTCCCTCTTCTCCCTCGCCGTCCTCTACTGCTCCCCCTCTTCTCCCTCCAGCGCTGCAATAATGGTGAATCGGTTATTGGCAGCCATGCACATAGCAGCAGCTTGTTTGTTGCTCGCAGGCTCACATGTAGCACCTCTCTCCCTCTCCCCGCTCTCACTCTGCGACCATTTCCCCCCCCAGCGCGGTGAAGATGGTGAATCAGCTGCTGGCAGGGGTGCACATAGCGGCAGCAGCGGAGGCGATGGCACTGGGGGCGAGGGCAGGGCTGAACGCGCGCATGGTGTTTGATATCATCTCCCATGCTGCTGGCAACTCATGGTGGGTTGTAACTTGTAATGAGGTGACTTGTAAGTTGACTCAACAGTGCAGGGCTGAACGCGCGTATGGTGTTTGACATCATCTCACACGCCTCTGGCAACTCATGGTGGATTGGGGCGTGCTTGAGAAGTGCCTTGCTGGCAACTCCCGGTGGGTTGTGACGAGATGACGCGTGAGTCAACTCAATAGGGCAGGGCTGATTGCGCGCATGGTGTTTGACATCATCTCGCATGCTGCAGGCAATTCATGGTGATGCTTAGAACCACCTTGCTGCTGGATTGAGGTGTGCTTGGTGCTGCGTTGGGAAGCGCTTTGATTTTTGAGCGCCTCAGACGTTGCTCAAGAGAATGCTTTGCGGTGTGATTTGCGGCATAACATGGTGCTTATTCCTGATGCCAATCACCGATCACCATCACCATCACCATCCCCATCACCACGCCCATGCCCGTTACACATGACAGGATGTTTGAGAACCGAGTGCCGCACATGCTGGACAACGACTTCACGCCTCGCTCCGCCCTCAACATCTTTGTCAAGGACCTGGTACGCTCTACTAAGGCTGTGCAGCGTCTGTAGTACTCAGACACGGTACTACGGCAGTGTCGCTATGGCTGTCGTGCGCATGCGCCACTCTCTGCGCGACTCTCTGCGTGACTCTCTGCGCGACTCTCTGCGTGACTCTCTGCGTGACTCTCTGCGTGACTCTCTGCGTGACTCTCTGTCTTGGTCAGGAGCCCTGTGCTGATGCAGTGTTGACAGCTTCAGTCGGACATGATGTTATAGTATGCCTCAATCCCCCCAGTTTGTGCTGGTCTGTCTCCCTCTGCTCCTTCACCTCCTCAGTGTTTACTCAATTCTCATTGTCCCCTTGCCGCTCTCCCTCCTTCCCCCGCCCCACCCATCAGGGCATTGTGTTGAGTGAGGCACAGTCGCTCGCGTTCCCTCTGCCCCTGGCAGCAGCAGCACACCAGCAGTTCCTGGCGGGTGCAGCAGCAGGGCTGGGCAGAGAGGACGATGCTGCCGTGGTCAAGGTGACACCAGGGGGTTCACGGTTAAGGATTCAGCAGGGCTGATTTCAAGGGTCCCGGGCTAAATTTCCTACTGCATTCTAGCCTGTGCTGCATGCATCCTCACTGTGGTTGTCTCTCTTCCTCTCCTAACCTTGTATCCCCCTATTTGCTGTCATCGTCTCCCTCTATCCTTTCCCCTTACTCCCCACACCCCAACTCTCCCCCTCCCATCCCCACCCATCCCCACCCATCCCCACCCGCCTCTTCTCATGTCATCCTCCCTCTAGGTCTATGAGCGCCTGGCAGGAGTAACAGTCGCCTCCGCCCTCCCCTCCACCTCATCTCCCCCTTCCACCTCCTCCTCTGCTCCGTTCCCGGAGCCCACCGTCCAATCAAAAGCCGCCATGCTGGCAGCGCTGCCGCCCGAGTGGACGGGCAGCTTGGAAGTGACAAGGGGGGGCGCAGAGGGCAAGGAGGGAGGACAGGGAGAGGCGGTTCTGCCAGTGGTGGTGGTGTTGGATGATGACCCCACTGGCACTCAAACGGTGCATGGGCTGCATGTGCTCACCACGTGGTATGTGTGTGTGGTAGCCGTGGTATGTGTTTGGTAACCACGTGGTAGGGCGTGTGGTTGCCACGTGGTATGGTGGATGGATGGTAACTGCGTAGTGTGGCATGCGATTTTCACACATGGTATGCTGCTGCTGGTATCTGCCCCGCTCCCCTTTCACATTCCAAGTTTCCAATCTCCTGTTTTCCTCCGCATTCCCCTACCCTGTCTGCCATGTGAGTCACATCAAACACCGCGTGCGCCTCCTCCCTCACATCAAACGCCTCCTCCCTCCTCCCTCCATTCTCTGGTCTCTCTACTCTTATCTATCGTCACCTGTCCCTCCTCTCTCTCCCCAGGGACGTGGAAACACTCAAGGCGGAAATGGCAGCACTGGCGCACACCCCCAATGCCGCCTTCTTCATTCTCACCAACTCCCGCGCACTGCCCACGCAGCAGGTGGGTGGGGTATGGTATGGCATGGTGTAGCATGGTGCAGCTTCGGTGGTCACAGCGGGTGGGGGGGGCATGGCGTGGTATGATGGCAGCACTGGCGCACACCCCCAATGCCGCCTTCTTCATTCTCACCAATTTCCGCGTGCAGCCCACGCAGCAGGTGGGTGGGGCATGACGTGGCATGGCGTGGCAAGACATGGGGTGGCATGGCCTTGTGCCTCATCCGCAATACCACCACCCTCTTCATGATGCCGCTGCTTCCCTGCCCTTTCAAACTGCCTCTTCGCCTCTCTCGACCATTTTCCCCTCGGCCTCCTTCCCTTCCCCACTCTACCCCCGTCTCTCACCATGGCAGGCAGCAGCTCTCACGCGCACCATCTGCAGCAATGTCGTGACAGCAGCCCAGCAAGCAGGGATCCTCAGGTAAGCAGGGGTGGAGATGGGCGAGAATGGGTTGTGGGGAGCACAGTGGCGGTGGTGATTGGTTCTGTGAATGGCTGTGGTGGTGAGAGCAGAGGCAGTGGCTTGGCTTGGCTGGGCCAGTATACCCACAGAAGCACAGAAGTCTGGCAGGAAGCAAGCCGTCCTCTCTGTGACTCTGTGCACATGGTGTGCCTCGTGTGTGTGCACATGGTGTGCCTCGTGTGTGTGCACATGGTGTGCCTCGTGTGTGTGCACATGGTGTGCCTCGTGTGTGTGCACATGGTGTGCCTCGTGTGTGTGCACATGGTGTGCCTCGTGTGTGTGCACATGGTGTGCCTCGTGTGTGTGCACATGGTGTGCCTCGTGTGTGTGCACATGGTGTGCCTCGTGTGTGTGCACATGGTGTGCCTCGTGTGTGTGCACATGGTGTGCCTCGTGTGTGTGCACATGGTGTGCCTCGTGTGTGTGCACATGGTGTGCCTCGTGTGTGTGCAGCAGCAGCAGTGGTGGCAAGGATCCGGGTTGCAGGGGCATCACACTCATTCTCCGAGGGGACTCCACCCTGCGAGGTCACTTCCCCCAGGTATTGCATTGTTTCGTTAAAATCGCTTTCTCCACCCTGCGATGCCACTTCCCGCAGGTACCCCATATTCTCTGCTTGCTGCCGTTGCATCTTCTTCCACCTTCCCCTGCGATTATCCTCGCTCATGCCTACATGGCCCTCGCTCCTTCTGTTTCAATTTGGCCCATCGGCCGACAGGTGGGGAGTAGGAGGGGCATTCACAGTCTCTCCTTCTCCAAAGCCCCCCTCTCTCTCATCGATGCCCCACTCTCTCCCTACCCAGGAGGTTGAAGCAGCGGAGGCAGCACTGGGCGCAGAAGTGGACGCATGGGTGGTGTGTCCTTTATGCCTAATGTTTGTCTTGTCGTTTCCTCATTGCGTCGCCGCCGATTCCCTTCCTGTGCACCCTCTCGCCCTATCCAGGAGGTAGAGGCAGCGGAGGCAGCGCTAGGCAAAGCAGTGGATGCGTGGGTGGTGTGTCCTTTCTTCCTGGAGGGGGGCCGCTACACCATCAATGACATGCACTATGTGGCCGATGGGGCTGACAGGTGAGAGCGAGGGGTGCTGGTGGGCAGGCCGCAGGGGCGAGCGTGGGGGGCGCTACACCATCAATGACGTGCACTATGTGGCCGATGGGAGCGACAGGTGAGAGAGGCAGGTGTGCGAGCGAGGGGTGCTGGCGGGGACAAGGGCTGTTAGGCTGTTAGGCTGTTAGGCTCATAGGCTCATAGGCTGTTAGGCTGTTAGGCTGTTACGCAGTTAGGCTGTTACGCTGTTAGGTTGTTACAATGTTAGGCTGTTAGACTGTTAGGCTGTTACGCTGTTAGGCTGTTACGCTGTTAGGTTGTTAGGCTGTTAGGCTGTTAGGCTGTTACGCTGTTAGGCTGTTACGTTGTTAGGCTGTTAGGCTGTTACGCTGTTACGCTGTTAGGCTGTTACGCTGTTACGCTGTTAGGCTATTACACTGTTAGTCTGTTGGGTTGTTAGGCTTTTAGGCTGTTACGCTGTTATGCTGTTAGGCCGTTAGGCTGTTACACGGTTACGCTGTTAGGCTGTTATACTGTTACGCTGTTAGGCTGTTAGGCTATTAGGCTGTTAGGCTGTTACGCTATTACGCTGTTACGCTATTACGCTGTTTGGCTGTTACGTTGTTAGGCTGACAGGCTGTTAGGCTGTTAGGCTGTTAGGCTATACGCTGTTACGCTGTTACGTTGTTACACTGTCAGGCTGTTAGGCTGTTACGCTGTTAGGCTGTTACGTTGTTAGGCTGTTAGGCTGTACGCCATTACGCTATTACGCTGTTACGCTGCTAGGCTGTTACCCTGTTACGCTCTTAGGCTGTCAGGCTGTCAGGCTGTCAGGTTGTTACGCTGTTACGCTATTACGCTGCTACGCTGTTAGGCTGTTAGGTTGTTACGCTGTTACGCTGTTACGCTGTGAGGCTGTGAGGCTGTTAGGTTGTTAGGCTGTTACGCTGTTACGCTGGTAGGCTGTTAGGCTGTTCGGCTGTTACGCTGTTAGGCTATTAGGCTGTTAGGCTGTTAGGCTGTTAGGTTGTTACGCTGTTACGCTGTTAGGCTGTTAGGCTGTTAGGCTGTTACGCTGTTACGCTGTTAGGCCGTTAGGCTGTTACGCGGTTAGGATGTTAGGCTGTTAGGCTGTTACGCTGTTAGGCTATCAAGATGTTAGGCTGTTAGGCTGTTAGGCTGTTACGCTGTTACGCTGTTAGGCTGTTACCCTGTTAGGCTGTTACGCTGTTAGGCTGTTACGCTGTTAGGCTGTTACGCTGTTAGGATGTTAGGCTGTTACGCTGTTACGCTGTTTGGCTGTTAGGCTGTTACGCTGTAACGCTGTTAGGCTGTTACGCTGTTACGCTGTTAGGCCGTTAGGCTGTTACGCGGTTAGGATGTTAGGCTGTTAGGCTGTTACGTTGTTATGCTGTTACGCTGCTAGGCTGTTACGATGTTAGGCTGTTAGGCTGTTAGGCTGTTGCGCTGTTACGCTGTTAGGCTGTTACGCTGTTAGGCTGTTAGGCTGTTATGCTGTTAGGCTGTTACGCTGTTAGGCTGTTACGCTGCTAGGCTGTTAGGCTGTTACACTGTTACGCTGTTAGGTTGTTAGGCTGTTAGGCTGTTACGCTGTTACGCTGTTAGGCCGTTAGGCTGTTACGCGATTAGGCTGTTAGGCTGTTAGGCTGTTAGGCTGTTACGCTGTTACGCTGTTAGGCTGTTACGCTGTTAGGCTGTTAGGCTGTTACGCTGTTACGCTGTGAGGCTGTGAGGCTGTTAGGTTGTTAGGCTGTTACGCTGTTACACTGGTAGGCTGTTAGGCTGTTCGGCTGTTACGCTGTTAGGCTATTAGGCTGTTAGGCTGTTAGGCTGTTAGGCTGTTACGCTGTTAGGCTGTTACGCTGTTAGGCTGTTAGGCAGTTACGCTGTTACGCTGTTATGCTGTTAGGCTGTTACGCTGTTAGGCTGTTACGCTGTTACGCTGTTACGCTGTTACACTGTTAGGCTGTTAGACTGTTAGGTTGTTAGGCTGTTCGGCCGTTATGCTGTTACACCGTTTCGCTATTAGGCCGTTAGGCTGTTACGTGGTTAGGCCGTTAGGCTGTTACGCTGTTAGGCTGTTACACTGTTACGCTGTTAGGCTGTTACGCTGTTAGGCTGTTACGCTGTTACGCTGTTAGGCTGTTACGCTGTTAGGCTGTTAGGCTGTTAGGCCGTTACGCTGTTACGCGATTAGGCTGTTAGGCTGTTACGTTGTTAGGCTGTTACGCTGTTACGCTGTTAGGCTGTTAGGCTGTTACGCTGTTACGCTGTCACGCTGTTATGCTGTTACGCTGTTTGGCTGTTAGGCTATTAGGCTGTTAGGCTGTTACGCTATTGCGCTGTTACGCTGTTACGCTGTTGGGCTGTTTCGTTGTTAGGCTGATAGGCTGTTAGGCTGTTACGCTGTTAGGTTGTTAGGCTGTTAGGCTGTTAGGCTGTTAGGCTGTTAGGCTATACGCTGTTACGCTGTTACGCTGTTAGGCTGTTTGGCTGTTACGCTGTTACGCTGTTACGCTGTTAGGCTGTTAGGCTGTTAGGCTGTTACGCTGTTACGCTGTTACGCTGTTAGGCTGTTACGCTGTTAGGCTGTTAGGCTGTTAGGCTGTTAGGCTGTTAGGCTGTTTGGCTGTTAGGCTGTTAGGCTGTTAGGCTGTTAGGCGGTTACGCTGTTACGCTGTTACGCTGTTACGGTGTTACGCTGTTAGGCTGTTAGGCTGTTAGCCTGTTACGCTGTTAGGCTATTGGGCTGTTACGCTGTTAGGCTGTTAGACTGTTAGGCTGTTAGGCTGTTAGGCTGTTAGGCTGTTACGCTGTTACGCTGTTAGGATGTTAGGCTGTTAGGCTGTTACGCTGTTATGCTGTTACGCTGTTACGCTGTTAGGCTGTTAGGCTGTTAGGCTGTTAGGCTGTTATGCTGTTATGCTGTTACGCTGTTACGTTGTTACGCTGTTAGGCTGTTACGCTGTTAGGCTGTTACGCTGTTAGGCTGTTAGGCGGCTACTCCACATCCCTCCTCCGCTCCACACCCCACCACCCCAGGCTGGTGCCGGCAGCACAGACAGAGTTTGCCAAGGATGCTGCCTTTGGCTACTCCCGCTCCAACCTCAAACAGGTGCGAGGCTGTGCTGTGTGGTGCTGTGCGATACTGTGCTGTGCAATACTGTGCTGTGCTGTGTGGCTGGGAGGGATGTACACATGTGCATGTCGGTTTCTGGATTCCAAGCGGACAAATGAGTCTGTGCATTTACATGCATCATCAATCTCCTCTCCTGCATGCCTCTCCATGATGTGCTCCGCTCAGTGGGTCGAGGAGAAGACAGGTGGCGCCAGGTCAGCAGCTGATGTGGCATCCATCTCCATCGAGACCATTAGAGGGGGCGGCCCTTCCGCCGTCCTTAAAGCCCTCATGGCGCTACATAAGGTACTCCGTGCTGCTCCCTGCTGCTTCCTCCCATGTCCTCACATGTTCCCCCCATGATGCCTTGTGAATGATGATCTGTAAGGGTCCCATGCTCTCCCACGGGCCCTCATGATACCTGCTCCTGATCTCTTCCGCTCTTTGCTGCTTCGAAATGTGGCGTCTATCCTTACTGCTCTCTACTATCTCGCCCCTGCAATAGTTTCTTCACGAAATGATACCCGCGACTGTAAAATGTTTGTATGTGTGTAGTTCAATTCGCTCCCTTACCCCCGCCCTTTCTCCCTTACCCCCGCCCTTTCTCCCTTACCCCCGCCCTTTCTCCCTTACCCCCGCCCTTTCTCCCTTACCCCCACAGGGTAGGCAGTGTGTGCATCTTGAATGCAGCGAGTGACAGTGACCTCCACGTGGCAACAGCAGCCCTAAGATACTCAGAGGCTGCTGGGCGCTCCTTCCTTGTGCGCTCTGCTGCCTCCTTCGTCTCCTCCCTCTATTGCTCACCTTGAATTCCGCCCTCCCCCCGCCCTTTCTCCCTTGCTCCTGCAGGGCAGTGTGTGCGTCTTGAATGCAGCGAGTGACAGTGACTTGCACGTGGCTACAGCAGCTCTCCGCCATGCAGAGGCAGCAGGGCGCTCCTTCCTCGTGCGCTCTGCCGCTTCCTTCGTCTCCTCCCTCCTCTCCCTCCCCAAACTGCCCCCGCTTGGTCCCCCTGAGTGGGCGCAGCTGCTGCTGGGCGGAGGGGCGGATGGGGATTGTGGGGGGGAGGGGGAGTGGGGGCGGAAGTTGAAGCGGTGGGGATGGTTGCGGAGCGGTATGGGGGGGTTGATTGTGGTGGGGTCGTATGTGCCGAAGACGAGTGCTCAGGTGAGTGGGAGAGGGTGGGGTTGAGGAGAGGCAAGAGAATGAGTATGAGGGGAGGAATGAAAGCAGGCGAGCAGGGTAGGAGGAAAGGGAGGAAAAGATGGGGGCAAGAGTAAGGGGTACATAAGACCTTATCAGGGTGGTGATGGAGGAACCGAGTGCTGCAGTGCATTGGCCTTTCACCGCGCTTTCCCTTTCATGCCCCTGTTCCCCTCTTGATGCAAAGCACACAAGGCATTCTTGCCTTCCCTACTCAACCATCCTTTCCTGCCTCCCTGCCCTTGCTGCCCCGTCCCTCCCACTCTCATGGCATCAGCTAGAGGAGCTGCTCTCCCGCCTCGGCTGTCAAGAGAGGACAGGTGTTTTGAGACGTCTCAAAACACTTCTTCAAACCCCTGCCCTTGCTGCCCCGTCCCTCCCACTCTCATGGCATCAGCTAGAGGAGCTGCTCTCCCGCCTCGGCTGTCAAGAGAGGACAGGTGTTTTGAGACGTCTCAAAACACTTCTTCAAACCCCTGCCCTTGCTGCCCCGTCCCTCCCACTCTCATGGCATCAGCTAGAGGAGCTGCTCTCCCGCCTCGGCTCGTCGCTTCATGTGATACAGGCAAGTTCATGTGCATGCATGGCCGTGTGATTGTGTGGTAGATTGCAGAAGCGGGATTGGTACATGCCATTTCAGTCAACGCTAATCCATGTCACATATATTGACGGTGTTCTCACACCCATTGTGAGGCCATACTGATCAAAAGCACCTCCATTTGTCCATTTCTGCCCTTTCTTCCCCCCTTCACGTCTCTCCGCGTCATCGGGCAGATCAGTGCTGCTGACGTGGCGTCTGACAGCTGGCAGGGGGAGAGGAGGGAAGCGGCGGTGGCAGGGATGGCAGGGGAGGCGGAGAGAGCTCTACGGGAAGGCAGTGACGTTGTCATCATGACGTCACGCGAGCTCATCACTGGCTCAGGTGGGTACTATCTCCCCGTGACTGTCCGCATGACTGTTCCCTGCAGTCTTAAGATTGATTCAAGAGTGATTGCGGCAGTGGCGGATTCATCATATCATATCATATCAAGCATAGCATAATGCTTGCGTTCTTTGCCCTGGGTGCATGATGTCCCTCTTGCAATCTTTCCCCTTCCATCCGCCCCCCATCGTCCCCATGGCCCCCACCCCAGACGCGGCCAGCAGTCTGGAGATCGGGTCGAGAGTGAGCGAAGCTGTGGTTGACGTTGTAAAGGCGATCAGCGTGCGCCCCAAGTACATTCTTGCTAAGGTGCCATGGGATGCAGTGGGATGGGGCGAGGTGGGCTGGGGCGACACGGAGAGGTTGAGATAAGTGGGCATTGGGATGTTGGGGTGTGGAATCATGTCAAGAGTACGTCTGCAGCATGGCATGGCATGGCATGGCATGGATGCATTTGCTACACCTCTCTGATTCACTCAAGGATCACCTTCCTGCTCATCATGCACATCAGGGAGGCATCACATCGTCATACGTGGCAACCAAGGCTCTGGGAGTGTGGAGGGCGAGGGTGACTTGTGAGTCTACTCAAGAGTCAATTACTAGATGCCTCAGAGTGGCTTCTAAGCTCGGACCTCCCTGCCTCCTCCCTCCCATGAGCATCAGGGCGGCATCACATCATCGGACGTGGCGACCAAGGCGCTGGGCGTGAGGAGGGCGAGGGTGGAGGGGCAGGCCATGGCAGGCGTGCCGCTGTGGCGCCTTGATGGTGCCTCCACCTTCCCCGACCTGCCCTACATCGTCTTCCCAGGTAAGCTCTGGTTTTTTTTTCTTCTTCTTCTTCGTTTTCTCAGTCTGTGCTTTCTGTGATCATTCTTGCTGTGATCCACTTCTCTCTCATCCACTCCACCAACCACCAGGCAACGTGGGGTCATCCTCCTCTCTCGCTGACGTGGAGCAGCGCTGGCGCTCCCAGCCCATGACCCCGCCCCTACTGACAACACTAGACCTAGTGCACGTAGGCGATTGTTGAGTCGGCTAATAGATTCTCTAATCCACTCCCCCATTCACCAGGCAACGTGGGGTCATCCTCCTCTCTTGCCGACGTGGTACAGCGCTGGCGCCAGCCCATCACCCCGCCGCTGCTGACCACGCTAGACCTAGTGCGCGCAGCAGCAGAGGGCGGGTATGCAGTGGGGGCATTCAACGTGTATAACCTGGAAGGGGTGCGGGCCGTGGTGAAGGGAGCAGAAGAAGAGAGGAGTCCGGCCATTATCCAGGTAGGTACACTATATGCAACCTTGCGGTGGGAGGGGGTGAGTGCGGTGATGCGGGGAGCCTCGGAGAGGAGCCACTCAGGCAGCGAGCAGGGCGGCTGAAAGAGTGAGAAATCTTATGTGACCTCTGTCCCTTCTCGCTCCCTTCATCTCTGAACCTCCCCTCTCTGTCTCCCTCTCCCTCTCCCCTTCCCCCTCCCCAGCTGCATCCCTCGGCCATCTGTCACGGGGGAGAGCCTCTCATGGCAGCGTGCGAATCAGCGGCCATGGCTGCACGCGTGCCCATCGCCCTGCACCTCGACCATGCCACGGACGTGGGCCTTATTCAGCGATGTGTAGAGCAGGTGCGTGTGCCCATGTTGCTGTGTGTGTGGAGGTGCGTGCCTCAGGTCAACACGCCTGGTGATCTGCGCCCGATACCCCCTCCCTCATCGCACATGATCGGTGAGTGCAGGGGTGGTGGCGGTCCATCATGGCAGGTGGTACCTTCCTCTACTGCATTCCCACCCACCATTACCATGACCCATACACTATCCCCTCCCATCACCCAATCCATACTTGTGGTGAGTGCAGGGGTGGTGCCGGTCCATCATGGCAGACGGCTCTCACCTGCCCCTGGCTGACAACATCGCCTTCACTCAACGCGTTATGGCTGCCCTCGCTGCCCTCACCACTCCAGCAGCTGTAGATGCACCGGGGCCGCCGAGAGCAGTGGGCGGTGGGGGAGGGGCGGTGGTGGTGGAGGCGGAGGTGGGGCGGATAGCGGGGGTGGAGGATGGGGAGACGGTTGAGGAGATTGCAGGCAGGCTCACCCAGGTTGAACAGGTGAGATGCCCTGTAAGAGTGGCACACGGTGGGGGAAGGGCGGTGGTGGTGGAGGCGGAGGTGGGGCGGATAGTGGGGGTGGAAGATGGGGAGAATGTGGAGGATATTGCAGGTCGGCTCACCCAAGTGGAGCAGGTGATGTGCGGTGGGAGCAGGTGAGACACGGTGAGGCAGTGGTGGAGGCAGAGGTGGGGCGGATAGCGGGGGTGGAGGATGGGGAGACTGTGGAGGAGATTGCTGGCAGGCTCACACAGGTTGAGCAGGTGAGGTGCGGTGGGAGCAGGTGAGGGGGGGTGGGAGCAGGTGAGGGGGGGTGGGAGCAGGTGAGGGGGGGTAGGAGCAGGTGGGTGGGGGTGGGAAGGAGACAATGGAGAGGAGGGATGTGAGGAAGCTAGTGCCAGTTCGTATCCTCTTCTCACCCGTCCTCCTTCCATCCCCTGCCCCATTCTCCCTCTTTCCTTTCACACTCAACCGCCCACCACCACGCCCACCTGTTGCTGTCTATTTTTGAGGCGCCTAAAAAATAACCACCACCACCACCACCACACCCACCTGGTGCTGCATGGCGCCTCGGGGATTGCCGCCAGAGATTTGCCATGTCTCATCTCTTCCCATTCCTCTGCCCGCCCACCTTCCCATGCAGGCTGAGACTTTCCTTCAAGGCGTTCCCCAGGTGTCTCTCCTCGCAGTGTGTGTGGGCAACTGCCACGGCCCATACCCAGCCTCCGTGCTCTCTTCCCCCGCCTCCATCCTCAACCTCCCTCTGCTCCGCTCCCTCGCCGCCACCACCACGCCCACCTGGTGCTGCACGGCGCCTCGGGATTGCCGCCAGAGATTGTCGTGTCTCATCTCTTCCCATTCCTCCTTCCGCCCACCTTCCCATGCAGGCCGAGACTTTCCTTCAAAGTGTTCCCCAGGTGTCTCTCCTCGCGGTGTGTGTGGGCAACCGCCACGGCCCCTACCCACCCTCCCTCCTCTCCACCCCCGCCTCTATCCTCAACCTCCCCCTCCTCTGTTCCCTCGCCGCCACCGCCGCCCACCACCACGCCCACCTGGTGCTGCATGGGGCCTCGGGATTGCCGCCAGAGATTGTACAGGAGTGCGTACAGTGCGGCGTGCGCAAGTTCAATGTTAATACCGAGTTGAGGGCTGCTTATATGGAGGCACTGGGAGGGGGAGGGAGGGATTTGGTGGATGTGATGGGAGAGGCGGAAAGGAGGATGATAGATGTGGTACGAGGGAAGCTGAAGCTGTTTGGGTCGGCTGGTCGCGTGTGAGGTTGTGTGTGTGGAAGAAGGGAGAGGCGTGTATTGGGAGGAGGGAGGGAGGGATTGAGTGGATGTGTTGGGAGAGGCTGAGAGGATGATGAGTGTGGTGAGTTGGAAGGTGAGGCAATTCGGGTCGGCTGGTTGCATGCGAGCTTCCTTGTGTGGGAGAAGGGAGTGTGGGAGAAGGGAGTGTGGGAGAAGGGAGTGTGGGAGAGGGGAGCGTGGGAGAAGGGAATTTGAAAGGAGGTTGTGGGAATGGAGGAGGGATTAGATTGACATTGGAATAGATGGATTAAAGAGGGGTGGAAGCAGATGGGTTGTGGATTTTATTGGTTGTTTTACACAGTTCATGCTATGTTGAATTGCATCAGTCAGTTTGAAAAGCGGTAACTTCAAACTTTGGAAACTACCTGTCCCATGCATCGTGATGACGAGCATTGTGAGCAATAATGTGATTCTCTACATAACGCACCGTCATCGCCCGGATATAAGACACTGTTGAATAGTAGACAGGGGTTGTCTATTTTACGGGTGTCTCTTATAAACAGGCACCAGTTTGTCCCACCAATTTCCTTTTTTCTAACTGGCACCAATTTCCTGGGCAACCTGGGAGAATGGAGGGTCTATTCTTACCGGTATCGCTAGTAAGACATCATGCCATCAGCCCTTAGTCTCCAATATGTCTCTTCCCAACTTTGAATTACGGTACATTAAAGGAGGAGTCCCTTCCTTCGGGTCTTCCTAACTTTGAATTACGGTACATAAAAGGAGTCCCTTCGGGTCTTCCTAACTTTGAATTACTGTACATAAAAGGAGGAGTCCCTTCGGGTCTTCCTAACTTTGAATTACATAAAAAAAAGGAGTCCCTTCGGGTCTTCCTAACTTTGAATTACATAAAAAAAGGAGTCCCTTCGGGTCTTCCTAACTTTGAATTACATAAAAAAAGGAGTCCCTTCGGGTCTTCCTTACTTTGAATTACCATAAATAAAGGAGTCCCTTCGGGTCTTCCCAACACCCACTTCGTGACTGACCTAATGTTTGACACGGGCTACAAATGCACCCTCATGCAGGACCAAAATTGTCCATGATTTCCACTCACCAAGTGTACAACACTATCACAACAGTTTCAACAACCAGTATCATACAAACCAAGAACTGAGGCCAGGCCAGGCTACCCTAGTAATGTATGTGGGAGTGCTTCAGGATGGGTCCCACCCACTGCCCATCGCCACCACCCCAGTGCTCTTGCAGCCAATCCCATTGCCAAGTGTCACTTCAACGACGCCTGCAGCGCATTATGTGTGTCCTCTCGCCGCCATACCGGTACTAGAAGCCCCCTCGGAAGAAGTATCACTTTTCGGTATCCTCCCATCCCCACAGCAACACCTTCTGGTGCAAAGTCTCATTTCAACGAAGCCTGCAGCGCCCGATCAATGATATGCGTCGTCTGCATGTTAATCACCAATTGGAACGCGGGCGGCTCCGGGTGATTGTAGTTCGCCAGATAGAAATTCTCGTCTACTCTCCTTGGCCCAACCGCCCATCTCGGGCAGGCTTTAAAGTTCGGTAGATTCTTGAGCAGCGACGAGCGCTTGTACACTCCAAAGTCATTCTGCGCGTAATCGAAGAACGCTGCAGAGGGGATATCTGTGAGGTTCACCATCTGGTGCTTGTTGAATGTCCCCTCCTCCACCGTCGGCAGCACCTCGCAATACTTATACCCCATATCACGCGTCCCGTTAGCGACTATAAGCCGAACAAAATTATCCGTTGGAAGGCCGCTGCAATACCCAGTCTCCCTCCCTGAAAGCGTGCCTTTGCGGCCAATATTGCACAGCTTGCCTCGAATGGACCGGTCCTGGCACACGCTATCCCACCAGGGCCATTGCGAGCGAAACAGTGGCGTGTCGTAGTATTTCTTCCGCATGGCTTCCCAGTAGGTGCCTGGGCGTTTGGCGCAGTTGTTGACGGTGGGTGTGAAACAGGTGCACCAGCCGGGCATGCCTGCCACGTCCTTGATGATTATGTTGTCTATGGAGTTCCTGGGAGGAAGCAGGAGGAGAGAGGGGTGTAGTGTGGTTGATGTGACGGTGGGCGTGAAACATGTGCACGAACCCAGCATGCCCCACTACATTGCCAATGCTGCTACTGTCAAAGCCCCCCCCATTTGCCTGCTGTACAAATAGCCTCCACAACATGCTTCTTCTCCACTTCCGCCCTTCCCACCCACCCAGACTCACCACTTGCCGTTGTTGACCTTGATACCGTCATAGGTGCCCACACACGCCCCGCCATTCACCGTCACGCCCGAGGTGACATAGTCCAGGTAGTAGCAGTGGTCCCCGTTGAACACGTAGTTGCACTCCGCCAGGTTCGCTGCATCGGGACAGGCAGTGGGGGAGGGTAACATGCAAGGAGAGCAGGTCAACAGGACGCTTGGTCTCCGTTGAACACGTAGTTGTACTCCGCCAGGTTTGCTGCATCGGGACAGGCAGTGGCAGGAGGGTAATATGCAAGGAAAGCAGGTCAGCAAGCCTAGCAGGACATAGTCCAGGTAGTAGCAGTGATCGCCGTTGAACACGTAGTTGCACTCCGCCAGATTCGCTGCAAGGTTGAAGGGGGTTGAGTCAACAGCAGCAGGAGGACCACAAAGCCTGGTGTGACATAGTCCATCCAGGCCAGGTAGTAGCATCGGTCGCCGCCCCGTCGGACACGCAGTTGCACTCTGCCAGATTCGCTGCAAGGAGGTTCAGAAAGGGGAATGAGAGAGATCACGGCGGTTGAGAGGGGATGTGATGGTTGCAATGGGGTTGAGTCAGGTGCAGCAGAATCACAAAGCCTGATGTGACATAGGCCCAGCACCCACCAGGGCTGAACCAGTGCTTACCCCTCTCACCTCTCTCCCACCCCACCAAATCCCAAGTGGTTACCACCTCCCTCCCCAATCCCACACCCCTGACAGCACCCACCAGGGCTGAACCAGTGCGTGCAGAAGTAGATGCCCGCAGCATCTTGATCCCCCCGACCGGTTCCTCCCATCCCAGGAGCAACAACAGTGTTGTACGAAATGGTTGCCAGCATGCAGTCCGCCACGTAGTGCACGTCCGACAGAGCAGATGAGCTCACATCCCCCCCCCCCCCCCCCCCCCCCCCCCTCTTAGCAGTGCCCGTACCACCACCCATACCACCACCCGTACCACCACCGGTATCGCCACCCACCAGGGCTGAACCAGTGCGTGCAGAAGTAGATGCCCGCAGCATCTTGATCCCCCGATCTGTTAGTCCCAGCAGCCACCACGATGTTGTACGAGATGGTGGCGAGCACGCAGTCCGCGGCGTAGTGCACGTCCGCGCCGCAGCGGATGCCCGCGAATATGAAGTCGTGCACGTAGTTGTTTCGCACTATCACGCCGATGGCGCCCTGGTACAGCACGATTGGGGTGTCGACACCTGCAAGGGAAGGGGGTGTGGGGTGGGGGGGAGGAGGGCAGGAATGCGGGAGCGATATTTAGTCATGCATGTAGCTGTTGCGCATTATCACGCCTATGGCACCCTGGTACAGCACTATGGGCGTGTCACCAGGTAAAGGGGATGCGAGAGAGAGTGGGCGAGCAGAGAGAGGGGGGGGGGGGAGTCGAGGAAGGAGCAGTTATGAAGTCGTGCTCTTGCAGGGTGTTTTTGAGTGCGCGTGGTTGTTGCGCATTATAACTAACAACTATGGCGCCCTGGTAGAGGACACTCGGGGTGTCTACGCCTAGTACAGGTGTACATGGGTAGAGGGGGTGCGAGAGAGAGTGGGCGGCAAGAGAGGTGAATGTGAAGTCGTGCACGTAACTGATTCGCACTATCACGCCTGTGGCGCCTTGATACAGCACGATCGGGCGCCGTGTTTGTGGGAATTCAGAAGAAAAAAGGCTGCAAAGACAGCGACATGTGACTCACCGTAGACCTCGTTATTGGTGATCGCGATATACGACTTCTCCAGCGTGGGCCCATGGCCGCTCATGGCGACGCGAATCACGCCCGGAGACTTGTTGAACACGGGAACTCCCGTGACGCGCATGGAGTCGACGCGTGATGACATGCTTCGAAACAAGTCAATGCGCCCGAACACTGTTCCTTTAGCAATCTGAATCCCGTAACTCCTGTAGACGTGTATTGTAGGGCAATTTACCCCGACGCCGTTCTCGGGAACACCGACGCACTGGGGAGACGAGGTGCGAACTCCGAGGGAAAAGCTCACTCCCAGTACAAGCACGTTGCTGGTGTTCCATATCCGCAATACAGGCTGATCCGCTCCGAAATAAGAGATCTTAAAACCGGATCCGGTTATGTTGTTGGAACGCAGAACAGTGCACGAGTAGCGCGAGTCGAACAGCAGACCCTTGTCGAGAACGAGGTTCTTATTTAGCTCCAAGATGACGGTGCGCTTTCGCGGGTAGTTGAGGCGGCGCGCAATGTCGTCTGCAGTATAGACCTTGATATAGGCAGCTCCCTCGTAGTCGGAGCAAGAGCCGGGAGTGAAAGTGTCCTCTTCTGTAAGCGGGGCAAAATGAGGTGGGGGGGGGGGGGGGCGGGGGGGAGGGCGCGGGGAGGGGGGAAAAAGGGGAGAGGAAGATTGAGGGGCGGAGGGAAGGGATGGGGAAAGGTGAGGAGCGGGGGAGTGGCGGAGTGGCGGAGGGAAATGGGAGACAGAATGGGGCAGGGAAGGGTGAGGACCAAGGAGAGTGGGCAGAAAAACTGAAGTTGCATGGGCAAGGCAGGAAGGGGAAAAGGAGATGAGGGGGGGGAAGCGGCGGAGGAGGGTCAGAGAAAAGGGGAGGAATGGGAGCGGGAGGATGGCAAAGAGGGATTTGGAGCGCGCATATAGTGCGGAGTAAGAGAAGGGGGGAGGGGAGGTGTTTGGGAAAGGAAGGGAGAATGGAGGGTAAGGTGAAGAGATAGCTATAAGTAGCAGACTCACGTGTTTTTCGTCTTGTTGGGTGATCGCTTAGATAGCTTGTTGCTGTCGCGAGAGCAGATGCTGCCTCGCTGTAAGCTGATCCAAAATTGCCTGTGAGATTGTTGTCTCGAACGGCTCTCATGCCGAAAGGGGACGCAGCTTTGGAATCGGCGCCGTTTCCGCTACTGTACATGCTCGCACTGTATCGAGACTGCTGCCCGTCTTGTATCGCGTCCAGAAACCGCCAGAAGAGGCCTCGATACTGGGTAATAGGAGGGAAGCCATCGGCCGGTCGCGCCACAAGGAAAAGGGTCACGACGGAGAGAAGCACGAAGCACCGCATTGCGCGCCGAGCCAAGTACGGTGCTAGAGACGTATGACGAGGAGCATCGAACGGGGATGGCGAGAGGAGGGTAACTCGGTCTGCGCGGCGAGGGCTCGCGAATTTGTACGCAGCAGGATGACGATGAACGGCCACCAACGCGAGATGTTTCGCTAGTCTATCTGCGCGACAGATGGGGGTACTACAATGAGTGGCAGAGCGAGTGAGCGACACGTCTGACGAGCTCGTCTGGGCGTATGCTTGTGAGACCGCGGAGAAAAGACTCGGCGGAAAACTTAGTCGCCTTGGCTGAAATTAGGGAATGACGATGACGATGAGGATTTGCCTAAGCGTTATGGCGTGAAGGTAAGGGAGGGGAGATGTTGTGCCGCCGATGCGAGTTGAGTCGAGTTGGTGAATTCTTTTGGCGGTTCTCTGCTGCCTACCATCAAATGGCAGAGCCACGCCATACCATATCCCCAGGTTTAGGTTCTGGAGTGTTCGCCAGATCCAGTAACCAGTTTTGCCCCATAACGTTACAAGTCGCAATTGCGTTGATTGGTGCGCTCTGACAGGCTATCGACGAAAGAGTTTGCGAAAGAATTACCGTGCACGGATTTGGTTACACTGCATGTGCAACTGCAGGTGACGGCGTTGATTGAGAAAAGCTCCAGTTCAGGCTCATCACCTGCGACCCGCAACTGTCAGGTGCTTATCAAGATATCAAGCAGGAGAGGCCACATCCACGTCAAATAAATCTCAGACCCGCTATTATGCAATCCAGCATCAACCAGGAGAAGCTAGCCACAATGGATATATAATTTGAAGTCACTCCCTAAGGGTGCGTCAGATCCTTTGGCCGGATCAATCCGGCCGGCCGGATCTAGCGAAGGTTACACATTCACGAGATTCGTGAGGTATTTCGTTAGTTCCGCACAACCCGGCCACTTGCTAAAATTTTCGGGCCGGTTTGATGGCCGGTTTAGCATTCGACAACTTTCCGACGTGCAAACGAATCGAGAGTCAACCACTTTGTCGACTCATCAGCGCTACAGTACCTATGCGACTTGGCCAACATACCCAAGCGACTCAACGTGTCACAAGGACGACTCGCACGGCGCTTTCAGCGCCGTTGGACATGACCAGAACACTTGGTAATCGCTCTCGTCAGCAAAGTCAAGGAGCAAGGGCACCATGACACCGACTGCAGCAACCAAGGGGTGAGCACAACGTGCGTGAGTCCGATTGCTAAACGTTGTGCCCATCTGGGTGTGAAAGGATCTGCCATGTTGGATAATGGCTAGAGTGTAGATACGTTCCGGTTTTTGTATGCTCTCGTCACACTTAGTTCGGGTAGACGACACGATCTCGCCACCAAGGTTTGTAAATGGGGCCGCAGCTCACATCTTGACTCCCTGATCGTAGTGTGCACAATAACGGTTGTGTCACTTCAGTAACAATACTTGCGACTCCGTCGCACAATCCGGCCAACTGTGCGACCTGCAAATCTGACACTTCTGCAAACCGGCCTGTAAATCGGTCACCAAATCTGTCAGATTTCAGCACCTTGTAAATGTGGCTGGATGGTGGTCGGTTTAGCATTCGACCATTCAGTCGACTTTGGCGAAAAATGGAGTCGACCAAAAGGGCGACAAATTTGCAGCCAAATCACATTGTAGCGGATCTGACGCACCCTAATTGAATGCATAAGTTGATGGTGTAGGCCCAATTTATGTTTTTGCCGAAAATCGTTATTGTCTCATGTCGCATCCCCCAACAATTTCAAGAAGCCCAGTTTCACCAATTTCAAGGTCGATTTTGCCTCCCTTTTTCCCGCCTCTTGGGATGGAATGGGGATTCCTTCTGTTCCGTTGCCTAGTAAAAAGACCATCCCTCACTACGCGGTTCTCGAAACATGCTGCTTCCATCACAATATGACCAGAGCCGTCATGGTCGTAGCTCAAGCTTGGTGGACCTTGACGAATATGTCGTGCGGAATATCTAGGACAAAATGGTGACTACTCTAGTGCGTATGGATTAGTGTTGCTTCTGTTATATCAGCTAATACTGGAATAGGTTGTTGATGGCGGTGCGTACCGAAGTGAGAATCTCATTGTTCCGTTAATTGGCAAGATGTGGCTTAACAGGGACTAAAATAGTATTCGATGACTTTTCTTCAATTCGCAAATTCTTAAAGAAGCTGGGTCAAAACTGTGGACGAGCCATCGCCATAGGCCGGTGCGGTCATTGAATTGCTTACACCGCCTAGGTTGAAGCTAGGTATTCAACGAAGCGAGGTTAAGACGAATAGGGGAGCTAGTCAGAAGCAGGGACATGGGGAAACGCGAAGAGGAGAGGAGGCGGAGGAGTGGTAGGAAGCCGGGAGAATCGATAATGCCATACTCGATGCAGAAGCTTCTGAAGCGGAACTATAAGGCGGTGTACGCCAGTGAGGTGAGTGTGACTATATCAGCGGCGAATGTGACAAAGAGAGCGAGTGCCAAGTCAGGCTAGGTGAATGTGACAAAGAGAGCGAGTGCCAAGTCAGGCTAGGTGAATGTGACAGTGTAGGCATTGCCTAATCCTCCCTTCGTTGCACGTCGTGCAGAACCACTTGACAAGGTTTTAACGGTTACACAAACCCACCTCCTTTGTCCTCCCTCCCTCAATACCCGCCCCCCTTCCAACACCTCCCTCTCCTCATTCCATGCCTGAGCCACCAGGTCATCCTGTCGCTGCACTGCTCGTTGCTAGCTGTACAGCGAAGGGCCACTCTTCTCGTCTACATTTCCTTTCCGTGCTGTTCTCCCCCACGTGCATCCTAACGCTGTATTACTCCTCGCTGCTGAACGGCGAGGTGCCTCTCAACAGCCGCTTACAAACCACGCTCACCTCATTCTCTTCCCACCCCCCACCTCTCATCGCCTTTCCTCTCTCTAACCCCTCCCAGGACATCCTATCGCTGTACCACTCGTCCCTGCTGTACGGCGAGGTGCCTTTCTGCAGTCGCCTGCGAGCCATGCTCACCTCACACTCTTACCCCCGTTCCCCTCGCCTTGCCTCTCTCTATCTCCTCCCAGGACATCCTATCGCTGTACCACTCCTCTCTGCTGTATGGCGAGGTGCCTTTCACCAGTCGCCTGCGAGCCATGCTCACCTCGGGGCCCATCAGCCTCCTCGTCACTGCTGTCAGTCGCTTGTCGCCTATGCTGTGACTCTAATCCGCACGGGGGTGCTGTGACTGTACCGAATCCTCATAAAGTGCTGTGGTCGTCCCATGCACTCCCATGCCATCCCATGGCGTTTGCATGGCGTCTCATGTTGATATGGCTTGCGATCACGTTTGTGCCTCCTTGTGTGGGGAACGCATCCGCGCCTCGCTGCCGTTCTCTCTCACTTCGCTTTTCCCTCACTTCGCTTCTCCCTCACTTTGCTTCTCCCGCTTCTCCCTTGCTCCAGGCCGAGTTCATGGCTTCCTGCGTGGGTGCAGTGTACTATATCATTGGGACCAGGTATGGCGCAACGTACTATATTATAGTAGGCAGGTAAGCAGGCACGCAGTCACGCAGGCAGGCAGGCAGGCAGGCAGGCAGGCAGGCAGGCAGGCAGAAGGTGGTGCAGACGTGTGGGCCACGTGGCCATGCTTGATATGCCTGTACAGTCATCTGACAATCGCATCTCATGCATTGCATGCTTCGCCACACCCTCACTCCAGTACCTCCCACCCATACCTCCCGCCCATACCTCCCGCCCATACCTCCCGCCCATACCTCCCGCCCATACCTCCTGCCCAACCTCACACCCATATCTCACGCCCATACCCCGTCCTCCCATACCTGCCATCCATGTCCCCAGGGAGACGGTGGCGCAGGTGGTGGCATGGAACGCAGGGCACCTGGCCGTCTCTGCCTTCTTCATCCTGCTCTTCCTCCTCCGCCTCTACAGGCAAGCTTCTTTCCCTCAGGACACCCTTTCTGCTTTTCCCTAGCTCGCCTCCTTGGGATTCTCGCATGCCTAGTTCACCGCAAACACACACTCAACCCGTCCCTCCATGTCCTTCCTCCCACGTGCAGTGCACCAGTGCGCTGGCTGTACGTGTGCTCGTGCCTGTGTGTGCTGCACAGCTTCCCTCTCATTTGCGTGCTTGGATCCCTGGAATTCTCGAATGTCTCATTCACCGCAAACACACACTCACCCCATTCCTCCATGTCCTTCCTCCCACGTGCAGTGCGCCAGTGCGGTGACTGTATGTGTGCTCGTGCCTGTGTGCACTGGACATCTTCCCTCTCATTTGCGTGCTTCGATCCCTGTGATTCTCGCATACCTCATTCACCGCAACCACGCACACACCCCATCCCTCCGTGTCCTTCCTCCCACGTGCAGTGCGCCAGTGCGCTGGCTGTACGTGTGCTCCTACCTGGGAGTGCTCGGCATCCTATCTGGTGTGCTCGCTATGACCACGTGCCCCATTCACTCCCAACACCCATCCCTCGTCCGCCACCCTTCCTCCCACGTGCAGTGCGCCAGTGCGCTGGCTGTACGTGTGCTCCTACCTGGGTGTGCTCGACATCCTATCTGGCGTTCCCGTGCTCGGTTCCCAGTGAGTCTTGTTCACATGCGCTCGCCTCTCTCTATCCCCTCCGATTCTTTTCATCCCCTACATTTCCGCACATCCTCTTGCATACTCTCCATCCTCTGTCCATCGATGCACTCCTCACCACCCTCTGCCGTCCTCTCCCATTCTCTCCATCCACTCCCACTTTCTCCATCCCCTCCCACTTTCTCCATCCCCTCCCATTTTCTCCATCATCTTCCATTCTCTCCATTCTCTCCCGTTCTCTCCATCCACTCCTCTTCCATTCCTCTATCGCATGGGGAGCCTCAGCAGCAGCAAGGGAACAGGCACCCTGTTTCAAGTCGTCTACTTCTTGCAAATCCTCAAGTGAGTGGCACCCTGTTGATTGATCCACCCTCATTTCGGTATTGTGGCATGTCAGGCTGTTAAACGCCACTGAGTGTCAAGTGCGCTTCTCTCTCTCACCGTCTCTCCCGCAAACTCATCCCCAGGCCCTTCACCCGCCTGCACCAGCTGGGACTGGACATCACATCCATCACTCAAGAGGTCATCAACCTTATCGTCTACCTCACCTCGCTAAGTATGTCTCTAAGAATAAGTGTGTCTCTTAGACAATAAGTGTGCCCTGCCTGTAGCAGCTGGGCTTGGATATCACGTCCATCACAAAGGAGGTCATCACTCTCATCGTCTACCTCACTTCACTAAGTATGAATTCTAGACACTACTAAGTGTGTCTTTTAGACGGCACTAATTGCTGTCTCTTAGACGCTACTAAGTGTGTCTTTTCGACACTAAGTGTGTCTCTTAGACGCCACTAAGTGTGTCCCGCCGACAGCAGCAGGGCAGGGGCATCACGTCCATCACACAAGAGCTCATCAATGACCTCTCTCTTCCCTCCATATTCCTCTCTTCCTCCGCCTTCACTCTTGTCTCCCTCTCTCCACACACTCTCCCCACACACCTGCCTGCCCTCTCGCGTCCCAGTATTCACAGCACAGGGGATCTTCCTATGGGTGACCTACCAGAACCCTGCAGTGAAGGCATAAGCTCCCCTCCCTCTCACTTCTCTCCTATCTCCCTCTGTCTGCTCTCTTGTCCCTCCGCCCTCTCACGCACGGCAGTATTCGCAGCAGCGGGCATCTTCCTGTGGGTGACCTCCCAGAACCCTGCAGTGAAGGCATCAACTAGCTTCTCATCTTCCTTCCCTCTGCCTCTGCTCTTATCTCCCTCCGACTTCGCTCCTGTATGCACCCCTTCTCTCACGCACTGCAGTATTCGCAGCAGCGGGCATCTTCCTGTGGGTGTCCTACCAGAACTCTGCAGTGAAGCACCAGTTCCATCTTTCCTCCTGTCCTCACTCCTATCCCTCTACCCTCTCACATCCTGCAGTATTCGCAGCAGCAGGCATCTTCCTGTGGGTGACCTACCAGAACCCTGAGGTGCAGGAGACGGGCAGCTGTGAGCCGGTTAACTGCCTCGACTATGCCATGTCACTCTACTTTGTTGTTGTCACGGTGAGATGTGGCCAAGTGAGATGTGGGTGGGTGGGACGTGGGTGAGACGTGGGTGAGTGAGACGTGGGTGAGTGAGACGTGGGTGAGTGAGACGTGGGTGAGTGAGACGTGGGTGGGTGAGAGGAAACGGGCAACTGTGAGCCAGTGAACTGCCTCGACTATGCCAGGTCACTCTACTTCGTTGTTGTCACGATGATCAGTGAGAGGTGGGTGGGTGAGAGGTGGGTGGGTGGGTTAGAAGTGGGTGGGTTAGAGGTGGGTGGGTTAGAGGTGGGGTGGGTGAGTGCGAGGAGACGGGCAGCTGTGAGCCTGTGAACTCTTGACTACACCATGTCACCCTATTTCGTTGTTATTCACGGTGAGATGTGGGTGGGTGAGAGGTGGGCGGGTGAGAGGTGGTGGGTGGGTGAGACGTGGGTTGAATGGATGAGAGGTAAGTGGGTAGGTGAGAGGCGAGTTGGTGGGTGCGAGGTGAGTTGGTGGGTGCGAGGTGAGTTGGTGGGTGCGAGGTGAGTTGGTGGGTGCGAGGTGAGTTGGTGGGTGCGAGGTGAGTTGGTGGGTGCGAGGTGAGTTGGTGGGTGCGAGGTGAGTTGGTGGGTGCGAGGTGAGTTGGTGGGTGCGAGGTGAGTTGGTGGGTGCGAGGTGAGTTGGTGGGTGTGAGGTGAGTTGGTGGGTGCGAGGTGAGTTGGTGGGTGCGAGGTGAGTTGGTGGGTGCGAGGTGAGTTGGTGGGTGCGAGGTGAGTTGGTGGGTGCGAGGTGAGTTGGTGGGTGCGAGGTGAGTTGGTGGGTGTGAGGTGAGTTGGTGGGTGCGAGGTGAGTTGGTGGGTGCGAGGTGAGTTGGTGGGTGCGAGGTGAGTTGGTGGGTGAGAGGTGAGTTGGTGGGTGCGAGGTGAGTTGGTGGGTGCGAGGTGAGTTGGTGGGTGCGAGGTGAGTTGGTGGGTGCGAGGTGAGTTGGTGGGTGCGAGGTGAGTTGGTGGGTGCGAGGTGAGTTGGTGGGTGTGAGGTGAGTTGGTGGGTGCGAGGTGAGTTGGTGGGTGCGAGGTGAGTTGGTGGGTGAGAGGTGAGTTGGTGGGTGCGAGGTGAGTTGGTGGGTGCGAGGTGAGTTGGTGGGTGTGAGGTGAGTTGGTGGGTGCGAGGTGAGTTGGTGGGTGCGAGGTGAGTTGGTGGGTGCGAGGTGAGTTGGTGGGTGTGAGGTGAGTTGGTGGGTGCGAGGTGAGTTGGTGGGTGCGAGGTGAGTTGGTGGGTGCGAGGTGAGTTGGTGGGTGAGAGGTGAGTTGGTGGGTGCGAGGTGAGTTGGTGGGTGCGAGGTGAGTTGGTGGGTGTGAGGTGAGTTGGTGGGTGCGAGGTGAGTTGGTGGGTGCGAGGTGAGTTGGTGGGTGCGAGGTGAGTTGGTGGGTGTGAGGTGAGTTGGTGGGTGCGAGGTGAGTTGGTGGGTGCGAGGTGAGTTGGTGGGTGCGAGGTGAGTTGGTGGGTGCGAGGTGAGTTGGTGGGTGAGAGGTTAGTGAGTGGGTGTGAGGAGACAGGCAGCTGTGAGCCTGTGAACTTTTTCGACTGTGCCATGTCACTCTATTTCGTGGTTTCCACCGTGAAATGTCGCTCTGTTTCGTTGTTGCCACAGCAACGACACACCACGAAAGGCACACCTCTTCCTCCTCCCCCCTCACCTCTCTCCCTCCTTGTGCTCCAGATATCCACAGTGGGCTATGGTGACATCCTGGCGACCAACACAGAGCGGGTGATGAGTCGATTTGTAAGTCGACTCAATAATCGACCCCCCCCTCACCTCTATCCCTCCTTGCATGCCAGATATCCACCGTGGGCTATGGAGACATCCTGGCGACCAACACAGCGGGGCGGATGGTGGTGATGTGCATCATCGTGGCAGCGCTCGTTATTCTGCCTGTGCAACTCAGCAACATCTCCAACCTCCTTGCGCACAGGTGATTCGCTCATTCACTCTCTTGTGCACTCTCTCTTGCACTCTCTCATTCACATTGTCATTGGGCGAGTAGCGGTGATGTGCATCATCATGGCAGCGCTCGCTATTCTGCCCGTGCAGGTGAGCAACATCTCCAACCTCCTCGCCCACAGGCACGTGTTGAGAGAGACGTCTCACTCAGCAATTGTCAGTCTGAAATTCTTATTCACGCTTGCATTCACACTCGCATTCACACTCCCGTCCCAATCACATCTACAGTTTTGTTCTCACTTGAAGCACCACCAAGCCTCTGGCAAGTTCCAGTCCCACACTGTGCCATTCTGCATTGGCTTTACAATCATCAATCGCATCAATTCCAGTCTCACATTGTGCCATTCTGCATTGGCAGTCAACTTCTTGGTGCTGCTATTGAACTTATTCCTGTTTCCGCTCCCTGAACCACGCCCTAGCTCAGGCCGTACGGTGGAAGGTTCTCAGCAGCTTCCGCCACAGGCATGCGGTTTGTGGTGCTGACGGGGCAGCTTTCCCCACTCTCCATCCAGCAGTTCCTGGCTGAGCTCTACCACCCACTACATGACAAAGGTAGCCACATGTTATTTGTCCAAGATAGCCAATCAGCCATGGCATGACAAAGCTAGCCATCATTACATAATAGAGGGTTTAGCTCCATTCTATTCTCTCCTAACCTTCTCCCCTCTCATCATCACAATCACACCCACTGGCTTTTACCCTTCCTTTAATTTCCCCTCTTGTTTTCTTTCCCTTATCATCAGATTTCGCCTCCTACCCTCTCCAAACGGTCATTCTAGCACCCTTTGAACCATCGTAAGTGCACCTCTTCTGCTTAGGAATCCCGTATTCCTCATAAGGCTTGTTTCGTGGCTTTCATTCCCCAGCGCTCCTTCGACTGATCTCCTTTGACTTCTCTGGTCACAGCTCTCGATTCACGCCTCTGGTGATGAATTGAGAGCTCACACCTTTCAATTCACGCCTCTAATGTCGCATCTCTTCGTTCACGACTCTCACTCAGCATCATTTCAGCACCGCGCTCATCATTTTCCCTACACTGCACCACAGCTCTCTCTCCCTCCCTCTTTATAAACCCAAACCATCGCATCACCCCTCCCCGAATCACCTCCTTCTCCCCATCCCTTCCCAGCTTTGAGCTGCGGGCTCTGATCACGGAATACCACGGTGCAGTGCGGTTCATTCAGGGCTCGCCCATGACACTCTACGACCTGCACCGTGTGCAGATCGCCCTCGCTTCCGCTGTCTTCATCCTCCTCCCACCCCTCCAATCCGTGAGTCCTCCTCCCACCCCTCCAATCCGCGAGTCCTCCTCCCACCCCTCCAATCCGCGAGTCCTCCTCCCACCCCTCCAATCCATGAGTCCTCCTCCCACCCCTCCAATCCATGAGTCCTCCTCCCACCCCTCCAATCCATGAGTCCTCCTCCCACCCCTCCAATCCATGAGTCCTCCTCCCACCCCTCCAATCCATGAGTCCTCCTCCCACCCCTCCAATCCATGAGTCCTCCTCCCACACCTCCAATCCATGAGTCCTCCTCCCACCCCTCCAATCCATGAGTCCTCCTCCCACCCCTCCAATCCATGAGTCCTCCTCCCACCCCTCCAATCCGTGAGTCCTCCTCCCCTCCAACCACCCTCTCCCCCCCCCCCCCGCTCTGCATTCCGCTAGTCCCCCTCCTCCAGGAGCGTGATCCCATCATCCTATCAACCCCCCTGGCTAACCACCCCTGTGTCTCTCCCTGGCTTCCCTCCCTTCTCTCCCCCCTCCCTTCCCTCCCCCTCTCCCCTCCGCTTTTCTGCGCTGGACAACACTCAGACCGCGCAAGCACGTGCAATGAGCGGCGATGGGGAGGAGATGGGTGAAGGGCAGGCTGCTTTTCTTTCCCCCCCGTCCCCCTCCCCACCCTTCCCTTCCCAGTCTCGTGCGCTGGACAACGCTCAGATCGCGCAGGCCCTTGCGTTGAACCGCTACGCAGGGCATCTATCACGGTTCGTGCTGGAGATGGGTAATCCGCAGGGGGCAGCACTGCCCGTGTGGGACACTGCCTCCCACCGCATGCACGTGCTCTGCCATGAGAGCCTGCGCTTCAAGGTCCTGGGGTCCAGGTGAGTCAACGTCAGTCAAGGTGAGTCAACACTTTCAGAGGGGTTTTGGGTGAGTTAATGCATTCTGAGCTAGGTTGGAATATTCGTGTTTAGCGTGTATTAGCATGAGTGTAGGACTCGGCCTCCCACCACATGCACGTGCTCTGCCATGAGAGCCTGCGCTTCAAAGTCCTGGGGTCCATGTGAGTCAACGTCAGTCAAGGTGAGTCAACGTGGGACAAGGTGAGTCAACGTAGGACAAGGCGAGACAAGGCGTTCTCAGGGGTCCAGGTGAGTCTGTGAGTTGTTAGGCGCATCAATTGCCACAGGCGGCAGCACTGCCGGTGTGGGGCACTGCCGGTGTGGGGCACTGCCACCCACCGCATGCACGTGCTCTGCCATGAGAGCCTGCGCTTCAAAGTGTTGGGGTCCAGGCGGGTCAACGTGGGTCCGGGTGGGTCAACGTGGGTCCAGGTGGGTCGACGTGGGTCCAGGTGGGTCGACGTGGGTCCAGGTGAGTCGACGTGGGTCCAGGCAAGTCAATGCGTTCAGAGGGGTCCTGATGAGCTCAACGTCAGTCATTCCCCTCTCGAATGGTCCTTGCATTACTTACGGGGTGGTACAATGGAAGATGCAAACACACAAGCAAAACAAACACCCAAACCGGCATTCTATGTACCTCGAGTCCCCTACCTACACGGCCCCTGTCAGAATGACTAAGGACAGCTAGGCTTAGGAGCCATAGCTTTAGTGGTTAAGAACTTAGGTTTTAGGGTTGAAGGAGGTGTCGAGAGAGTTGAAGTGGGAAGAAGTGACTTCACTAAGAAAGATGAGTACAAAATATAGCAAGGAGAAGCATGGTGCACCACCTACAGCAAATTGGGATGTGCTACACTCTACACTGCAGACAATTATAAAGAACATATATAACTATAGTTCAACAGCCCCCTCCCCCCTGTCCGACCCTATTGGTCGAACGGGGCCTTGATCAACTGGTGCAGCTGTCCCTCTCTGAGAGGGATGATGGGACCCCGAAAGCCGAGCTCGTCCGCCGCCAAGGCCTCATTGGTCTTGGTGCGGAGGGCGTTGGCCTGCGCCCGCTGGAGGCACACGCTCCAGCGCTGGCGGTACTCCGTCAGCAGCTTCGTAGGAGGTAGGTGCTGCGTTAAAGCGCAGCTTTGCCGCCAGCTCCGCGCATTGCCGGAGGTATGCCATCACCCTTGGCGAGGGGTAGCCGTAAGTTTCTACTGCAAGCGCGTGGAACCCCACCCACGCGTTCCGGCGAGCGTACTTCTCCTTTTTTGCTGCTGCCGTCCTAGCCGCCCATCCAGGAGCTCGGTTGCAGTTCTCGTCCTGGTATGACACCGGGTTCAGGGTTTAGGGTTCTCATTCCCCTCGAACGGTCCTTCGTATTAATAGCATCAAGGTACAGTCATTGGTACTAAGCTAGTCTAAGCAGTCAACCGGCAATCAAGCAAGCTAACAACCAAACACACAAGCAAACAAACGACCAAACAAACAAACAAACAAACAACCAAACAACCAAGTTTAGGGTTTAGGGCTCTCATTCCCCTCTCTCTCTCCCCCTCCCCTACACAGCTGCTTCATACGAGGCCTCTCCACCCTGGTAGCCAACCTGCTGCGCTCACCTCTCCTGCTCGACTCGCCTGGCCACAAGGCATGGCTGCCAGAGTACCACGCCGGCTGCCTGCACTCCATCTACCCCGTGCTCCTCCCCCCCCGCCTTCCACCCCTTCCCCTTCCAAGATCCCGCCCCGTTTTTACACCAGTGCTTTCGTGTGTGCCTCTCCCCTTCCCCTCCCCTTCCCCTTCCCCCTCTTCCCCCCCCAGCTGCTTCATGCGGGGCCTGTCAACGTTAATAGCCAACCTGCTGCGCTCGCCGCTCCTGCTCGACTCGCCTGGCCACAAGGCATGGCTGCCAGAGTACCACGCCGGCTGCCTGCACTCCATCTACCCCGTGCTCCTCCCCCCCGCCTTCCACGGGCTGTCCTTTGAGGAGGTTGCAGAGTTTGTGTACCGCTGCTTTCACGTCTGCCTCTTTGCTCTTGACGTGCTGGTGGATCCGTGTGGGGCGCATGGAGGGGTGGAGAGGGGTGGGGCGGGTAGGGGAGGTGTTGGAAGGGGTGGGATGCACGCCTGTGGGGAGTGTGTGGAGTGTGTGGAGTGTGTGGAGTGTGGAGGTAGGGAGGAGGGAGACAGGCGCTCTGAGGCAGAGGCCACAGCAAAGCCACTGCAGGGATCAAATTCACGTGCAGTACCAACTGCAGCCCCAGGAGCAGGAGGAGGAGAAGACGGAGCAGCAGCGGGAGCAGGAGGAGGAGCAGAGGGGGCAGCAGCGGGAGCAGGAGGAGGAGCAGAGGGGGCAGCAGCAACACGAGCAGCAGGAGCAGGAGCACCCGCGGAAGCAGCCCCAAGCTTTTACGTGGGCAAAAAGGCAAGCCGACCGCCCAGGCCTCTCAAAAACCCCTTCCCCCAGTTGAGCCGCCTGCTCTCCCACCCCCAAGAGGAGCTGTACTTTCTCCTCAACCCCTCCGCTGCTGCCTCTGCTGCCCGCACGCCAGCAGCAGCAGCAAAACCAGCAAAAGCAGCAGGAGCAAGTGCAGGAGCAGCAGGGGCAGCAGCAGGCAGCAGCTCTGGCCAAGGGAAAGCGTGGAACGCGGGCAGTGGCGTGGCGAGGAGAATAGAGCAGCAGTTACACCAGGGCCTTACGCTGAGGAGGAAGGGAGCGAGCGGAGGGAGAGGAGGGGGAGGAGCAGGGAGAGTGGGGCTGGAGTGTGGGTGCCAGCGGGGGGTGTTCCTGCTTCCATCTCAGCACATCATCCGCAGCTCTGTTGACGTGGGGTTGGTGATTGCGCCCAGCCTTGACGCTGCTGAAAGGGTTTCTGCTTTCACAGGCGGATTGCACAGTGGGAGGAGCGATGGTGGGGGGAGTGGGAGTGGGGGGAGTGGCAGAATCTGGCAGTCTTGGTGGGGGGTCAGGGGGAGGAAAGGGGAGGGGGGGAAGGGGAGGGGAGGTGGAGAAACAGGGCGGTGGTTCCAGGGTGGCCTGTGAAGGTGGTGGACATTGGAAGCGGTTTTGCAAGGAGCATCAGCAGGAGCATCAGCACCAGCAACACAGGCAGCAGCATCACCAGCACCAGCAGCAGGCAATGACTGAACAACAACAACAGCAGCAGCAGCAGCAGCAGCAGCAGCAGCAGCAGCAGCCGAAGAGTGATAGCCAACAACTGCAACAGCAGCAGCAGCTCGTTTTCCAGCCGCCGCAAACCCTGCCATTCCACCCCATCAACCGTCAGCACCGACCCCTCACAGCATCCGCACTGGCGGCAGCACGCACCTCCAACCCCATCTCCCGCCACCTCTCTTCCTTCCTCTTCGGGACCCGCCGTGCCGCGTCTCTGCTGCTGCCGTCCCCTGCTGCGGCTGCTGACGCGCGGTCGCTGTTTCAGATGGTGCAGGAGGAGTGGATGAGGAGAGGGGCGATGGAAGGGGCAGGTGGATGGGCTGATCTGGCACCAACTGCTGCTGCGGTGGCTGCTGGTGCTGCTGGTGCGGGTGGCATGAGCTTGGGAAGAGATGTGAGTGTGACTCTGATGCCTGATGATACTCATTTCACCGACAGTCATCTCACCACGCCCCTGCTCTCCCGATACTGCCACCACCACCAGGTAGCATCACCAACATCCCCATCAGCAGCAGGGTTAGGCACAGCGGCAGCAGCAGCACCACCACCACCAGCCGCAGCAGCAGCAGCAGCAGCATCAAGAGGGCGCCAAGATTCGTCACTTCAAACGAATCCTTTTACGAGAGCAAGAGAGCCTGGCAGCAGCAGCAGCAAGAGAAAGGTAGTACGGTTCCAGGGTATTGGGGAGGTGGATGGGGGGGTTACAGAGCAGGGGAGAGGGGTGCACGTGGAAAGTCAGGGGTTGCTGGATGGGGGAGGCACGACAGTAGCGAGGAGGGAAGAATGGGAAATGGCATTGGAGAGAGGCAAGGCAAGAAGTGCATTGGAAGGGGATGTGCCACAAGGCATTGGTGACAGCGTGTGGGACGTTGGTACGGCTGTGGAGGGTGGTGCTACTGCTGCTGATGGTGGGAAGGTTGCTGTGTTTTCCCAGGATAAGCCATTCTTGCACCTGCTATCCAAGGCTGGTGCAGAGGAGAAACGAGTGGGGAAGGGCGAAGGAAAGCGAGAGGGGACGAAGGAAGGCGATGAAAAACAAGAAGCGGAGAAGCAAGGGGACGAGGCAGAGGGGGGGGCGAAGGAGAAGGGGGAGGAAGAGGGAGAGGAGGAGGGGGGAGGAGAGGAGGAAGAGGAAGAAGAGGAGGAAGAGGAGGAGGAGATTGAGAGGCTGGCAGTGGAGGTGGTAGATAGGCATGAAGAGGCAATACTCACACATCTAGACTCCCACACCCTCCCTGTTGCTGACTTCGCCTTGCCTCACATCCTCGTGTGCCTCGCTGGCAGCAGCAGAAGCCATGGTGTTGGTGGTAGTGCTAGTGATGGAGAGGAGGAAGGAGGTGGGGAGGGGGGGGAGGGAGGCGGCGTGGTGGCATGGCCGGCGAATCTGTTCTGTCTTGTGAAGCACCTCAGGAGCAGGGCACTGCCGCAACGACCCGTGCTCATCATGCACCCCCATGTGCGTACACTTGTCCTCATCACTGGCGCCCTCTTGGCCTCATCCGAGCCGGCGTCCTCTCTCCCCCTCACTTTTGTCCCACCCTTTTTCCACCCTCCCTCCGCTCCTCCATTACCTCACAGCACCCGAGTCGCTGAGAGTGGGCGCAGGTGGGCATCTCCCCCGGCGTCTTCTTCCTCTGCGGCTCCCCCCACTCACGAATCAAGTTCTCAATCTCATCCCTGTCACTCTCCCACCTCCCTTTCTCCCCCTTCCCCTCCCCGTCCTCGAACACCTCACAGCACCCCACCCACCGGGAGTGGGCCCAAGTAGGAATCTTCCCTTGACGTTTTCTTCCTCTGTGGCCCTCCCCCATGCATCATCTTGATCTGATGCCAGCCCATGGCCCCTTCCCTCCCCCATGCATCATCTTGATCTGATGCCAGCCCATGGCCCCTTCCCTCCCCCATGCATCATCTTGATCTGATGCCAGCCCATGGCCCCTTCCCTCCCCCATGCATCATCTTGATCTGATGCCAGCCCATGGCCCCTTCCCTCCCCCATGCATCATCTTGATCTGATGCCAGCCCATGGCCCCTTCCCTCCCCCCATTGCCTTGCAACACCTCACACACTGCGAATGGGCTCAGGTGGGAATTTTCCCCGACGTCTTCTTCCGCTGCGGTTCCCCCACACACCATCTCGACCTCATAGCAAGTAACCCTCTCTTTTCACCCTCCGCCCCGACAGCACCCCACCCACCGCGAGTGGGCCCAAGTAGGCATATTCCCCGACGTTTTCTTCCTCTGCGGCTCCCCCACACACGATCTCGACCTCATCCGCGCCGGCGTCCTCTCCGCCGAAAAAGTCCTTGTCATCTCCCCCGACCAATCGCCAGGCGCCACGTCACCATCCCTCTCCTCCTCCTCCTCAGGCCCGTCAGCAGACCTAGCAAGCGTGGTGGTCGCAGCACACGTGGAACAGTTACAAGGAGGATGGGAAACAGACGGAGAGAGCGCAGAAGCAGCGGAGGAAGGGGGGGGGGAGAGAAGGAAGGGTGGTTTGCTGGTGGAGCTTCAGAGCGAGCAGTCATATCAGTACTTCCAGCCGCTGTACCTGCTGCCAGGGCGGCGGGCGGAGAGGCGATCGTATCTGCGGAACAGGATGGGGGTGTACGCGTTTGCTCCTGTCTTCCAGAGCGGGCGGGCCTTCTGCAGCACCGCGCTCTCTGCTGTCTCGTGAGTATTTTGTCACAACCCTTTCAAGATTTTCACCTTTTTAATAATCTCAGGTGCCGTGTAACAGGCTTACAAGGCATTTCCATTCTTGGATGATGTGAAGCCATGTCATCTCAAGCCCCTTGGGATCAGGAGTTGTTGGTGCTTGACCTTCTGCTTTTTCCCCAACTTACTGTTCCACTCCTCCAAAATCCTCTGACCTTCCCGTCCCGCCCCCTTTTCACCCATGCAAGTGGGCGTCCTCCTTTTTTATATCTCCACCACTCTGCACCTCCTCATATCTGGCGGTCCAGGTGTCCCTTGAGGTGCCAGAAAATCGTCGTGCATGTTTCTCATATCCCTCTGACCCTCCCCTTCCACCCGTCGTCGCCTTTGTTTCCACCCATACCAGTGTGGCCACCTTCTACAATCGCAACATCTCCACCATTCTGCACCTCTTGTTATCTGGCAGTCCTCCCATTCCCCCTCTCAATGCCTCATCCACTCCTCATGCCATTGCTCATGATGCCACTCCCAGTGCTGCTTCCACTGCTACTTCTGCTGCTTCTGCTCCGTCTGCTGCGCCAACTGCTGCTCTCCCATCATCCTCATCCACACCCAAGCAACACCAAGCAGCAGCAAAATCACCTCATCACACCCACCACCAGCACCAGCACCCAAAGCACAGGCGGCAGCTGTGGCAGTGCGAAGTGCCACATGAGTTTGTGGGGAGGGGGTACGGGGAACTCTTTATAGATATGCTGCGTTCCAGGCATGCGCTTGCTCTGGGGCTGTACCGGGTGGCAGGCACCTTGGGATCTCCAACCGCATTTGTGCACACAAATCCTCTCCCGTCTACACCTCTTTCTCAAGGCGACCTTGTCTTCTACATCATGTGAAATGGTGTGATGTCTTTTGTGCCTGGTAGCATATATTATGTTTCTGCTGAATTCAGGCCCTCCTTTGTGTGTGGTAAGTGGTAGCATAGCCATTTACCATGTAAGCGCCTGGGCCTGGGAGGAAAAGATTAGCTCTTTGCGGAGTGATAGATTCAGGAATGGTTTCCTTTGGCCACATGTTCAAATACCACATGCGAATTTGGTTGAAATATATATATATATTAGCTAAACATGCCTTGGGCCACATGTTCATGGTGCAGTCTACACTGCCCGTTTTTCATATCTACACTCGATAAAGTCCCATTGCCTAGCAACCCGGCAAAGTATGCAAACGTGCTGATGTAACTTCCAGCTTCGATAATGGTCCGCGCTTTTGAAAGCAGGAAGAACTCGGCCATAGTGGGAAGCCGCTGTGCAACTGTTTCAGGAACAGTAGTACCAGAGGAGCTGGTCCCATTCACACCAGCCCTGCTGCCGCTGCTGCTGCCATCACTACTGCCCTCCACCCCCATCCCCAAACTAATGCTCTCCAGTCCCTCTGCTCCCACACTCCCGACACTGCCGCTGCCGTTGCCACTGCCAGCGCTGCCGCCAGCCTTGGAGGTGTGGAAGATGCCTCCAGAGGAGAAGAAGACAGTGCCGTACTCTGCCAGTCGCGCCACAAACTCACCTCGGTGCTCCTCGTCGTCTGTTGCTAGAAAGATAGAAAACTCGCTACTGCTGCTGCTCGATCCATCTCTGCTGTTAGAGGGCTCGGTGGTGGTGGTCCTGCTGCTACTACTGCTGCTGGGGAGGTCGTCTCGCATGGAACGGAGGGTGCTGAGGATGCCGCCTATGCACTCCCACAGGCAGTTGCGCAAGAACCGGGGTCGAAGGGAGGTAGCACTGGCACTGGCGCTGGTGGTGCTGCTGCCGGTGCCGCTGCTGCTGGTGCTGATTTCAGGGGAATCTTCAGGGTCTTGGCAGTCGGCGTCTTGGTACGTGTCGGCTGATTGCCGAACGACCTTCTCCAGGGCCAGGGTGCGAGTGCGCACGTGGAACCCCACGTCAAACTCTATCTCAGGCCCCGTGTTCGCTGGCTCACTGCTGATTGATGAGGCTGTTGCTGCACCTGCAGCTGCTGGGTCTGCTGTGCTGCCACTGCTACTGCTGCTGCCTGTGCTGCTGCCCGTGTCCTGGGTGCTGCTTTCCCTGCCGCTACTGCTGTTTTTTCTGCCCTCACTGCTGCTGTTATGAGGCACGCGGCGCAGGACAGAAGAGATGGTGGATGTGAGGGCTGTAGTGGGGCCAGTGCGGGAGAGAAAGTCGAACATGGCGCGGGAATGGACACACCACACGGACCTGAAAGAAGAATGGGGGCAAAGGTGGGTGTGGATGGAGGCGATTCGAGGATGATGGGAAAGATGATGGGGAGGATGAGAGGAGGGGTGACAATGGTACAAACAGCAGCACCAGTGGGGAGGGGCCGGAACAGAGGGCAGTGTAAATGCAGTGGCATTGAGCAGTGGAACAGAAAGTGACTCGCGAGCAATGGATAGCTGCAAAGATGCAGGGGTGCAGCGCAGGTGGTCATAGCGGTGCCAGAAGAGGAAAAAGAGGGTGCCATTGCGTAACAGAGGGCGACTCACTCACAAGCAGTAAAACAGAATGCAACACCCAAGCGTGATTAATTGACTCATGCGCAGAGGAAGGCAACCAAGACACAGGAGGGAGAACGGGAGGACGACTCACGAGCAGTGGAAGGCGGCAAAGACGCAGGAGCGCAGGCGATCGCTGCGGTGCCAGAAGAGGTCAAAGAGGGTGCCGCTGCGCGTGGCGAGCACCGGGTAGTCTGACTGCAGTGATGCTGCTATGGCTGGTGTGGGGTGGGATGCAGTGGGATGGGTTGGGGTAGGGTGGACATAAGGGTTGGGTGGGTTTAAAAAGGACCTCAAAACCCTCCGCCTCTCCCCCCCTGCCCCCCTGTCCGCCTTGAAAGCACCTTACTTTGAAGGTTCTGTTATCTCTCAGGAAGTAGATGGGTCGCAGCATGGCAAACTTGCACAACACTACCCCTCCAATGATGAATGCACCTCCCCTTAAAAACCCCACACCCCACCCTCCACCTCCCCTGGAAAGCACCTCACTTTGAACGTTCTGGTATCTCTCCAGGAAGTAGATGGGTCGCAGCATGGAAAAATTGCACAGCAGTTCAATGCCCGTCCCACTGCGCCCCTCATGATTCCCCACCTTTCCCCCGACCAACCACCCCCGATTGCACCTCACTTTGAACGTTCTGGTATCTCTCCAGGAAGTAGATGGGTCGCAGCATGGCAAATTTCCGCAACAATTCAACCCCCGTGCCACTGCGCCCCTCACTCGCACTCTTCACTACCTCCACCGCTCCTTCCGCCCCCCCATCCCCCTTCAACCCCCTCCGCGCCCCCCTCCCCTCCCAGACTCCTCCTCCTCCCTCTCTTGCCCCTGCCTCTCCCCCATCCCTTCCATCCCCCCCCCCTCCTCCTCCCACACTCCTCTCTCCCCCACCTCCCACTTCCCCATCCTCGCCCTCCCCATCCCCACCATCCCCACCACTCCCATCCTCCTCCCCACCGCGATCCACCCCTCCCGGCTGCCCAACCGCATCAGAGCTACACCCATACGCCTGACAGAGCAGGTCATACACCCGCGCGTGCTCCCCCGCGTGCAGGCGCACCAGCCGCCGCCCCGCCAGGCTGGCGTAGACGAACGCAGAGACGAACCCGCGCAGGGAGTTCCCAAGGCCGTGGCGCGGGAGGAAGGCGAGAAAGCGCTCGTTGGGGCGGAGCAGGTCGAGCAGGGAGGTGACTGGAGGCCTGGGATGGGGGTGAAGGGGGAAGGGGAAGGAGGAAGGAAGAGGGAACGTGAGGTGAGGAGCTCTCAAGGCTGTGGCGCGGGAGGAAGGGGAGGAAGCGCTCGTTGGGGCGGAGGAGATCGAGCAAGGAGGTGATTGGAGGCCTGGGATGGGGGGAAAAAGAGAGGGGAATGGAAGAAAGAATAGGTAGGTGGGGGGAAGAGGGAAAGAGGGAGTTGGGGCTGAGAAGTTGAGGAAGGAGGGGAGAAAGGGTGAGGAAGAGATTCAGGCAACCGGCGCCTGCTAAAAGCGGAGAGAGGAAGTGCGGTTCACATTTGCCAGTGAAAATAAAAAAAACGCGGAGTCTAAGAAAAGTATGACTCACATTCCGTCGGTGGATTAACTCATGAGGCACAATGTCAGCACACAGTGCCTCGCCGCCCACGTTTATCCGCACATCCTGAGGTGATTTATTTTCGGTCTGTGGACTCAAAAATCACCTCCGACTCACATGCGGTCTGTGGATTCTCTAAACTCATCCGGCACAATGTCAGCACACATCGCCTCGCCGCCCACGTCTATCCGCACGTCCTGCACGAACCGCGACTGCCACGGCCGCCGCGGAACCCCTCCCCCCGCGCCGTTCGTTCCGCCCAACTCCCCGCCCAACCGCTGCGCGCTGATCTCCCCTTCCCGCAGCCCGTCCGCCGCTGCTAGCGCCATGATGCTCCTCCGGCCTTCCTCGCTCAGAATCATGCTTCCGCCGCTGTTCCTCTCGTCCCCCACGCCCCCTCGCTCCCCTCGCCCCGTCCGGATATCCGGCAGGTGCTGCCGCGTGGCGAGCAGGGATTGGACGGCGGAAGCGCGCGCGGCGGGGGACCAGAGGAAAGGGTAATAGTGACCGGCGAAGTTGGAACACAGGAAGAGGATTATAACGAGAAGAATGTTCTGCAAACGAGAGCCGACGCTGCTGCCGCTACTGCCCCCGCTACCACCCGCGCGCCTCCACGGGCTACTAGGCCCTGGCGACATTCCCCCAGAGGCGGAATCTCCCCCATATCCGCCGCCTTTGCGGCTTCTTGCGCTCACGCCCTTGCTGGTGCTGCTGCTGCTGCTGGCGGCAAAGCCACCGGTATTCCCTATGACGCTGAATCCACCTCGGTGATTGGTCCATCCGTGCGAAGGCGGCAGTATATGCGGCAAGAGTTTCGCCGCTCCCGACGCGGACGCGCGCGGATTGCCGAGGGACGGGGAGCGCGGTGTGGGGGATGAGGGTGATCTTGCCGAAGGTGACTCAAACGAAGAGCCGTCATCGTCGCTGAGGCTGGTCTTACTCCTCGGAAGCTTAGAGCCCGCGGGCGATCGGCCTCCGCGCGAAAGGGGAGACTTCGGGTTACCAGCAGAAACAGATTCGCTTCGTACTCCTCCTTCTGCTACTGGCCTCCCAGCGGAGCCCGCGAAGCCGGTGAAACGGCTAGAGAGCCATGAGGACTGCTTGCGATCTGAGGAACGGTTAGGCGGCGATCTTATGCGCAATGGCTGGGAGAACATTCAGCCTACCGGCTATGTCGATGCTCTTACTAGCAAATTTGGCTTGCCGCGCATTCGGATCTCTGGGGAATCGTGAAAACCGCAACCTGACAGCCCTAACGTCCACTGTCAAAGGCTCTGAGGGCTCTATGACAGTCGGCTACTAAAGCTGATCTGGGCGGTACCAAGGGGGTTGACGTGCAGAAAGTAATGCTTCATTCGGACGCAAATAGTAAATCCTTACGTGTTCAAGTCGAGACTGCAACCATGGCCTAGACTCCAACAGAAACGGGTGAACAAGTTCTAGAATGAAATATCTGGTCTGGTGTACAAAATCAAGCTTTCGAGAATTGTCAGAAATCAAGCTCAAACGACACGGATCGGTTTGGTCAAGAGAAAGCAGCACAGAGAATGACGAAAGGAAGAAGTAGAGTCAAGGGAGAAAGGGACCAGTAACCAGGGTGGAGGTGAGAGAGCAGAGACGAAAGGGGAGGAAGGGGGGTGCCAGGGGAGCAGTCAAGTAATGGTGGGATGAAATATCATGCATGTGACATGGCCCAGAGATGGGATTTCTTAGGTTTCCGTAAGTACTTCGCGAGTCACATCGTAAGTAAGTGACATGCCCAGGTATCCGTAAGTACTTTGCGACTCACATGCATTTCTTAGTTCCCAGGTTTCCGTAAGTACTTCGCGAATCACCTATGGGATGTCACATGCATTTCTTAGGTACCCAGGTTTCCGTAAGTACTTCGCGAGCTGCCAAGCATTTCTTGGGAACCGACTCAAGCAGCCGCATCTTGGGATTTCACAACTTTCGGGATTGGGTTGGGGATCTCCCCCACCCCAACAAGGAACCGACCAGGCATCGTATTTACCTCCCTCTTGCGATGGGTGTACAATTTTTTTTATCCTTAGAGATTTCGTTCGTTATACGGTAAGGGTACAGGATATCCTAGCACCCATAACACCTGACTACAAAGCTTGGCAATTGATGATAATCCTAGGTAACAAGCTACGATACCTACATGCGGCTTTCTCCTTTATCATCCCTCCCTGGCTGCACTTGCTATGGTGTCAAGGGAACACCTAGCGTGCGTGTTCCATCTCTTTCCTTCGCCAGACAAGTTATCCTGAGCAGATGATGCTGTGTTGCAATGAGCTCCTTGTTGTAAGCCCTCCACCTGCCGATGCCCCAATCCCTCCTTTACCGCCCCTTGCAGCAGCACCTACTATACCATTACTCTTACCCCCCACTTCCGGTCCCAGGAAATAACGAGTTTGTTGACGGCGGGTTGGGTGTCTTCGTCCCACTGCCCATCTTCGAAGGTGATGGTGGGCCTTTCTTAGGAGGGATAGAACCATTACTTTTGCCACCATCTTTCACCTTCCCTGGTAAGGGAGCACCTGAACTTGGAGGGGAAGGAGTCATTGTACCATTCTTCGTCTTCCCAGGGAAAAGAGGGGTCTTTTTTGGAGGGCTGTTAGCCTTTGTCCCATTCTTGGGTGTTCCTGGAGCAGGAGGGGTCTTTTTTGGACTCCCTTTTTTCGCCTTGGTCCCATTGTTCACCTTCCCTGAAGGAGGGAGGGGTTTCTTAGGGCTCCCATTATTTGGCTGCCCTGAAGATGGAGGGAGCTTCTTAAAGTTCCCATTATTTGGCTGCCCGGAAGGTGGGGAACCCTTTTTCGGACTCCCTTTATTCAGCTGCCCTGAAGAGGGAGGGCTATTTTTTGGATTCCCCTTATTCGGCTGCCCGGAACCAGGAGGGACCTTCTTTGGAGGAGCAGCACCCTTAGGAGGAGGGGTCTTCATGTTCTTAGGTGGGAGAATTCCTGAATTCCCCTCACTCTCCCCTCCGCCGCTCCACCCATTATTCCCCCCTGTGCTGTTGCCCCCGCCCCCATTCCCCCCACCTCCACCACCTCCCCAACCGCCTACGCCTCCGCCTCCCCCTCCTCCTTTTGCTCCCCCTCCTCCCCCCTCCCCCTCTTCCAGAGAACTGCACTTGACAATCGTAGTCCTTTCCTGCTACCCACCCCGCAGGGAGACACGGGCCAGGCGTTTCCACCACCTGCCCGTCCATTAAGGAGGTAAGTCGGAACCTCAGAGGCGACTTGAGGTATGTCCGGTGCACCCACACAGCTCCCCAGTCGTGTTCCATGGGCTTCCACGTGGCGGATCCTGCTTCTGCCACGTGGACGGATGCCAGGTCACCGGGGCCCGCCACGTTGCGCACAAGCAGGTTGATCCAGAAATCGGAACCGGTGGGCGTGAGGCGGATGTTGCGGTTGAAAGCACATGGAACCCTGCAGGTAGGCGATGGGGTAGGCGTGGGAGAGTGGAGTAAGTACAGGGGGTTGCATGGTGGCACGAACAGGTTGATCCAGAAATCAGAGCCGGTGGGCGTGAAGCGGATGCTGTGGTTTAAAGCACGGGACACCCTGCATGTTGCAGATGCTGCATGTAAGCAGTGGTGGGGAGTAAGACGGTGGCAATGGGGTCACACGTGGCACAAGCAGATTGGGCCTGCAACCATCCACATATGGCACGGATGTGGATACCATATGAGTGGTTACCTGGTGTACACGAAGGGTATGTGCCCTGCAACTTGCTCAGCGATGAGGGTGACAGCGGGCATGGGCAGGTCGAAGTGCACACGGTGGGGCAGCACCACCCGCCTGCACGGGTCTGCTCTGCTCCTATACACTGCCCACATACGCTGTCATACTAGGGTTACCCAGGTGGTTGGTTGCATGGACGGGGGTGGTTACCTGCTGTACACGAGGGGTACCGGCATGTGCCCCGCGACTCGCTCCGCAATGAGGTTGGTATTGAGGTCGAAGTGCACACACGTGGGGCAGCATAAGCGTACTGCTATCCACATATGTTAGAGGCAGTGGGGTTACACGGATGGGTGGTTACCTGGTGTACACGAGGGGTATGTGCCCCGCAACTTGCTCCGCAATGAGGTTAAAAGAGGCCATATTGAGGTCGAAGTGCACACACGAGGGGCAGCACCATCCCCCTCCCGCAGGGCACTGGTCCGTGATGGTCACGGTCACGCTCACGCCCTTCTTGCAGTAGGGGCTGTCCACGCACCGGACTCTGCCGTTGGGGAAAAGAAGGGTGTGCATAGGTCTTTTAAGGTTGATCACTGGGAAGAAGGGGATGTGTGGTCACTGTGAAACCGCCCACACGCCTCTTGCAATTGCGAATGTAGCACCAATCCCACCTGTAGCAGCTGCCACATCCGTGGCCGTCCTTGTAAAGCATCACACTGCCGGCCGCAGTCAAGGGGCCATACCCCGCCGCCAGGATGTTGCCGAACCCGCAGTTGCCGCCTGCACGCACCACGAGGAATTGGGGGAGACATGGGCGAGAGAGAGAGAGAGAGAGAGAGAGAGAGAGAGAGAGAGAGAGAGAGAGAGAGAGAGAGAGAGAGAGAGAGAGAGAGAGAGAGAGAGAGAGAGAGAGAGAGAGAGAGAGAGAGAGAGAGAGAGAGAGAGAGAGAGAGAGAGAGAGAGAGAGAGAGAGAGAGAGAGAGAGAGAGAGAGAGAGAGAGAGAGAGAGAGAGAGAGAGAGAGAGAGAGAGAGAGAGAGAGAGAGAGAGAGAGAGAGAGAGAGAGAGAGAGAGAGAGAGAGAGAGAGAGAGAGAGAGAGAGAGAGAGAGAGAGAGAGAGAGAGAGAGAGAGAGAGAGAGAGAGAGAGAGAGAGAGAGAGAGAGAGAGAGAGAGAGAGAGAGAGAGAGAGAGAGAGAGAGAGAGAGAGAGAGAGAGAGAGAGAGAGAGAGAGAGAGAGAGAGAGAGAGAGAGAGAGAGAGAGAGAGAGAGAGAGAGAGAGAGAGAGAGAGAGAGAGAGAGAGAGAGAGAGAGAGAGAGAGAGAGAGAGAGAGAGAGAGAGAGAGAGAGAGAGGGAGAGAGAGAGAAGGAGAGGAGAGAGGAGAGAGAGAGATGAGAGAGGAGAGAGAGAGAGGATTATGGCATGTTTGAAACATCTCAGAACTTGCCTGCGGACAAGGGGCCGTACCCCCCCGCCAGAATATTGCCGTACTTGCAGTTGCCGCCTGCACGCACCACGTGGCAACAGACAGCAGCAATGTAGACCAAAAGACAACTCTCATTTGTTAAGGGATCACCGCGTTGTCGGAGTTGCTGCCATCCGACGCGGAACGCGACGCAGCGCGCCGAAGCCACCGCTGTCGGCGGTGGATCGAACCAGGGGTTGTGAAGAGCATACGGGCCACTGGGTGCGATGCGATACACCTACCGTCGATACCGCCGCCGTAAGTTATGAATACATGGACGTGCCGTAGGCTACTACCACTACCGCCGTAAACGGATGAACGTGCTCATCCGATGAGTCTTCACGGGATATGGAATGCTGGTAATAAAATATCGTCTCAGTCTCTCCTGTTTTTCTTCTAGTAACAGACAACCAGACGTACCGTCGAGCCCGCCGCCGTAGTAAGTGGCAGTGGCTTTCCCCGTGAAGCCGAAACCCTGTGACCCCGTGCCGGCCGCCGTCACGAGGTCCTGTATCGACGCGTCGGCGCGCAGCGACACGTGCGCGAGCGCCGCTATAACGAGGGTTGCTACACGCGCCGTCGTCGAGCAGGCTGAATGCGACGAACGGACCGAATGCCACGGCATTGCGAGGCTTTTTGCTGACTTAGTAGAAGAATTGGGTGAGCGTAAGCAGCGCGGCCGCTGAAACGTGGAGCTACGATAAACGGCGCTGGGTGGGTCGTAGCTCGTGAGCTTCAGAAAAGTTCTCCGTGAGACGGATTGTGCGATTTCCAAACGTATAGGCCGACCCTCGTTGATCGAAGTCTCCTCGACCAGAAATCATTGAATTGATTCACGATAGCCTTCTCCAGGTCCTACATTACCAGCAAAAGCGTCTTCTCGGTCTTTTTGCGGCTGTTCGAGCGCGTTGCGGCTTGGCTAGCTAGTTCGGCTTAGGAGCAAATGCAATGCACTAGCTTCAGGATCAATACAGCACTTGTAGTGGCACCCTGCCCCGTGCAGTACTGTCACATCGTCGCCTGCCCTCCTGCCTTCGATAATAGCCCCTGCTTTCCCAGGGTTTGCTGATGAACACTGTTTTTTGTCGGACAAGTGGGGTTGAGATAGTTCGCACACGGTTCGAACAATTTCGAAGGCATTTTTAAACGGTTGGAGGAAAAACCTCAAAGGGTGAGATCAGCAAGCCCCGGACCCCGGTATAACGATTGACCAAATGCAGATGTCGAAGCGCGCAATCAGGCGAGTCGCGCGAGGTAGGGGCTAGTGTAGGACGCTGGTTCGTGTCACCTTTGCACTGACTGGAATGTAGGGGCCAAGGAAGAGCATTTATTGGTCAATTTACATCGCAAAGGCCGCGCGTTGCGATGAGGCGGCCGGCGTGATTGACGCAATCACGTCGCCAATCCGAAGACGAAGGCCCCCACGAAAATGTGCGATTGTGTGCGATCAGATTGGGGCAGGAGGGACTGTGCTCACCACGAATGCGTTTCACCTGAACCTTTTTATTGTTGCGCAGTGGTGGAAAGAAACCTGGAATGGACTCGGGATAATCAAGAACAGCTGCCATCCTCGTTGGTGGAGGTATCGCCATAACACTTATTGCACCGTGCCCACTAGGTCATGTCATGTAAAGCCAATCAAGCTCATGTCTATATTAGTGCACTTTCCTCCAAGCGATAAAAATACACTTCAAGTGGACCGCGCTCAAAAGCGTAAGCAATACCCATCATCACTTGACACCATCTGTGACCAATGCTGCAGGTCTTTTGTCTATCACCTCGTCTATAAGCCCAAACGAGAGTGCTTCTGTCGGGCTCATGAAGCGGTCCCTCTCCATACTCTCAGCTGAAACGTGAGATAAAGCAGGTTACACGACACAGGCACCGGAAAGAGACAAAAAAAAGGGGGAAGTTGACAACATTAAAGTGGCAAGCGCCGTCATAACAAGCGTAGGCAACAGAAGGAGAAGGTAACAGCACAGCCTTCACTCACCAATCACATCAACCTCCTTCCCCGTGTGCTTGGCATACAGCCCGTTCAGCCGGGCCTTAGTCTTGATAATCTCTTCCGCGTGAATGGCGATATCAGTGGCCTGCCCCTGCGCGCCCCCTGATGGCTGGTGCACCATGAGCCGTGCGTTGGGTAGCGAGCGCCTCTGCCCCGCCTCGCCTGCTGCAAGCAGCAGTGTGGCCATAGAGGCTGCTTGGCCCACGCAGAGGGTGCTCACTGGGCACTGGATGTACTGGTGGTGGTGGTGGTGGTGGGGGGGGAGGGGGTAGGGCAGGAGAGAGGAGAAGAAAATGCACCACGAGACTCGCGTTGGGTAGTGACCGCCGCTGCCCCGCCTCCCCTGCTGCGAGCAGAAGCGTGACCATGGAGGCTGCTTGGTCCACGCAGAGGGTGCTCACTGGACACTGGATGTACTGGTGGGGGGGGGACAGAAAGGGGAGGCAAGCTAAGAGCAGCACGGTGGGTGTCAGGTGGTGCAAGGCACGACCAGAGTCGCCTGCTGAGAGCAACAGTGTGGCCATGGGGGCTGCTTGGCCCACGCTGAGGGTGCTCACTGGACACTGGATGTACTGGTGGTGGTGGTCGGGGGGGAGGGGAGGGGAGGGGATGGGAGGGGGGAATTTGAAGGACTGTTAGGAGGAGGCTAGGGAATAAAGGGGTGCATATAGCGAACAGGGTCATGAATGGTCGACCATACCACACTGACCTGCATACTCACCTGAACTCTCACCTGCATACTTACCTGCACACTCACCTGTACACTCATTCGCATGCTCAGTGCTTACCTGTATACTCTCCTGCACACTCCCTGCGCATTCACCTGAACACTCACCCGCATGCATACTCGCCTGCACACTCACCTGCATGGTGTCGTATATGGCAAGGCCTGCTGTCACCAGACCGCCAGGCGAATTTATGTACATGTACACCTGCGTGGAGGGGTGAAAACGCGTTATAAGGCGTCTCGTCACAGGTTTATTTACACGTACAGCTAGATGAATCACGTTCTTTAAAGCTAGAACGACCATCGCTTACAGGTTTCTCAGGGTGTTCTGATTCTAGATAGAGTAACTGAGCCACCACCAGTGACGCTGTGTCGTCGCCTATTGCGCCGTTCACGCACACGATCCGTTCCTTCAGCAGCCGGGAGAAGATGTCGAATGCGCGCTCGCCACGTGGCGTCTGCTCCACGACCATCGGGACTAGATTGTAGTGCCGAGCGCTCCCGGGAAAGGACGGCATGTCAGCGCCATGGGAGGTCACGTTGGGAGAAATGACAGCTGGTATGGTGTGCTGGCAGCTCGTGATTGGGCGAGGTCTGTGCCGCGTGGCTGCAGACGCGAGAAGCGAAGCTAGGCGGCGCGATGCCATGGTCGATGGTCGACACTGATTGTGATCTACGCGCGCTGGAGGAATCTGGTTGATGGTCGCGGCGCGTCGACTAGTGCTGATCCACGGTTGGATGCGCAGCAGCGGCGGCTCACCGTTAGGCTGCGGCAGCTGTCAGTGTGAAGGAGCAAGAACGGCGCATTCGAAGAGAAAACAGATAATTGATATTTGAATATGTGACATTCGGAAAATGTCCCACAAGTGAATGACCTTATACAGGGTTCAGTTGTAAAGGTTGGCTCGACAATATCTAGGGGCAGGTCTGACAAAGTGTTTTGACCGTTCTGAAACGAGAAGAACCTACTCAGCCCTCAGTCAAACTTCTGGAACATCCCCCAAGGCAACTAATGTAATCTCCTCTCACACCCACCGATTCCATTTCACCCCTCTGGTTCTGAAGTCTCCATCTGCAGGTCAAGAAACCTAGCTTGACGGCTAGAATCTTTCATAGAAGCTCCTCCATCTCACATCGACTCGTTTCCTTCCCGCATCACATGCAAACCGAACCGCGAACATCCGTTGACCAAACCCCGGCAACCTAACATCACCATACGCGTCAAGCGCAGGCCCGGGGTAGGCCGCATCGCGCCATGAGCGCGTCGGCGATGGCGGCAGGTCAGCCGCAGTTCCGCTACTCGCAACCGCCATCCAAGGTGCTGCACGTGCGCAACCTGCCGTGGGAGGCGACGGAGGAGGAGTTATCAGAGCTCTGCAAGCCCTTCGGCCGCGTCGTCAACACCAAGACCAGCGTCGGCGCCAACCGTAACCAGGCGTTTGTCGAGTTTGTAAGTTCGTAGCGCTACGTTTCGCTTTGCTATTTGTCAAGCGGTTAATCCTTTTGTTGTCCTAATCATGCAGATTCTTGGCGTTCGCGTGCCAGGACACTACTTCCGCATATAACATTCCGCTTATACCTGATAGCATTTTGATACTTCCTAAAAGCATCTAGCTGCTCCTTCCTGATAGCATCCCGCTTCGTCCTGATAAAATTGGCTGCTTCCTAATAGCATTCCGATGTATCCTGAGAATATTCCGCGTCATTTCGCTGCTTCCGAATGGCGATTTGTTACATCACCTTTTCTCCGCACCGCAGGCGGATTTGAATTAGGCAATCGCGATGGTGTCTTACTACTCATCATCATCCGAGCCAGCACAGGTTCGCGGGAGGGCGGTGCACCTTACAATGTCTGGTGCTCCCATTCCGTGTGTCCGAATTTTCAGGCGGATTTGAACCAGGCGATCGCCATGGTGTCTTACTATGCATCGTCATCCGAGCCAGCACAGGTCCGCGGGAAGGCGGTGTACCTGCAGTACTCGACGCGGCAGGAGATCACCACGTCCAACAAGACTGGCGATTCCACCTCCGGGAATGTCCTGCTTGTGACTATAGAGGGGGTTGAGGCTGGCGACGTGACTATAGACGTGCTTCACCTGGTACGTGCGTGCCTGTTCGTTTGAAGGTACGTTTTGTGCACGCGTCACGCATGCGTTAGGAGGAACGTGCGAGGCAAGCAGCTAGCTTGATGCTCACATAGGCTTGCAAGCTTGCAAGCTTATTAGGTATTGCAGGCTTGCATGGGATTACCCTTGTGCAGATTATATCGTTCCACTCCTGGCTCCTCGCTTGCTCCGCTCCAATTCCATTAAGGCAATGACTGGGATTCCACCAGACCAGCCCACCTATGCCCCCACCCACGAGGTTCGTTCTGTTTTGCAAAGGATTTAATGAACCACCAAAACCCTCTCCGTGTGCAGGCCATCTTCCTCTCATTGAAGTGAACGGCTCAGATCTTCCCTCGCACGAGCGATGCGAATCCGAGCAAGATCCGTTCTGATTTCACCGTTTGTTCTCATAACCTTTTCTTACCTGCCCGCCCTTCTCACCCTCTCTAACCTTTTCTCCAACCCCCCTTTTCAACTCAACCCAACCCAACCCAACCCAACCCAAACCCAACCCAACCCATCCCAACCCAACTCAACTCAACCCAACCCCCATTGTTTCTGTGCTAATCGGTTTCAGGGAGTCTGCACCCCCGCTCGTCATGCCCACTCGTAGCTGGGCAGCTTAGCACTGATGAATTATCACCTTTCCTATGTGTCATATGTGCTCATGCATTTGCGCCTTCTCTTTGCATGAATTCCTAGGCTTCTGAGATTGAATGTTGCTAATTTATACGTTTTGGAAGCAATTTTCGTTATAGCTCGGTGTGCTTGAGTTTTTTCTCCGCTTTAGCATTTGTGTCGTTGTTCTTATTCGCATTCAGCTGTGTTTTCTTCCATGCGTCGAAATTCTTTCTAGGTATGAACTGCTTTGAATGGTGCACATAATCAGCCTGTGTTGGAAAGTGCATTCTCCTCCACTCTGTATCCTGCTGCAAACTCTCCTTTGCGCGTCAAATCGCAGGTCTTCTCGGCATTCGGATTCGTCCAGAAGATTGCAACCTTTGAGAAGAGTGCCGGTTTTCAGGTCTGTGAGAAGGCTTAAAGCCCAGCAACATCTTTCATTCAGTCTAGATTGGTCTTGTCAGGTCCGAATCAGAGGGCTTTGGGTCCATGCTCCCCTGTAACCCAGTTGGCGGTCCCGTCGAATCAATCCCTGTGGCTTTGACCCGCGTGGCGTTGATCCACGTTTGGTTGTTCCCGTTTTTCCCATGACCCGTGCAGGCATTGGTGCAGTACGGAGACCCAGAGACTGCCAACAGTGCCAAGACTTCATTGGATGGCAGGAGCATTCCTAGGTGTGCATTCCCAGAGCACCTTTACAAGATCCGTGCCTCCTACCTGTCACCTGCCTGTCGCACTAACCATATCCTACGTGTCACACAGACTAATTATTTTGGATTTTTTCAAAAGTGACACAGGTATACCCTACCTGCCACAGGTCCCTCCTTCGTTCTCCCCCCCCCCCTCCCCCCCCCCCCAAGCTACCTGCTCCGAGAGCACGTGCAGACATGCAGTCTGCGCATCTCCTTCTCGGCCCACACGGACCTCTCCTTCCCTTTGCATGTATGGGTGTGTGCGTGCTCCCCACCCGGACCCACCAGCTACCTGCTCCCGGAGCACGTGCAGGCATGCAGCCTGCGCATATCCTTCTCAGCCCACACGGACCTCAACGTCAAGTTCCAGAGCCACCGCAGCCGCGACTACACCAACCCCTACCTCCCCGTCTCCTCCTCCGCTACTGATGCCGGCGTGCAGGTGCGCCCTAGAAGAAAGTGAAAAGAGAAATAATCGCATCAGGTACAGGTAGAGACTACACAAAACCCTACACCCCCCAGGTACGCTGTATAAGGCGTTCAGGTACGCTGTATGAGGCGTGCAGGTATGCTGTATAAGGCGTTCAGTTATGCTGTATAAGGCGTGAAAGTACTCTGCTTTATAAGCCATGAAATGAAAAAAGCGAAGTGCAGAACTAGGTCAAGCTAGACAGGCAGGCGTGCAGGTAGAGAGGCAGGCATGCAGGTAGAGAGGCAGGCGTGCAGGTAGAGAGGCAGGCATGCAGGTAGAGAGCAAGCGTGCAGGTAGAGAGCAAGCGTGCAGGCAGAGAGCAAGCGTGCAGGCAGAGAGCAAGCGTGCAGGTAGAGAGCCAGCGTGCAGGCAGAGAGCAAGCGTGCAGGTAGAGAGGCAAGCGTGCAGGTAGAGAGCAAGCGTGCAGGTAGAGAGCAAGCGTGCAGGTAGAGAGCAAGCGTGCAGGTAGAGAGCAAGCGTGCAGGTAGAGAGCAAGCGTGCAGGTAGAGAGCAAGCGTGCAGGTAGAGAGGCAAGCGTGCAGGTAGAGAGGCAAGCGTGCAGGTAGAGAGGCAAGCGTGCAGGTAGAGAGGAAGCGTGCAGGTAGAGAGGAACCGTGCAGGTAGAGAGCAAGCGTGCAGGTAGAGAGCAAGCGTGCAGGTAGAGAGCAAGCGTGCAGGCAGAGAGCAAGCGTGCAGGCAGAGAGGAAGCGTGCAGGTAGAGAGCAAGCGTGCAGGTAGAGAGGCAAGCGTGCAGGTAGAGAGGCAAGCGTGCAGGTAGAGAGGCAAGCGTGCAGGTAGAGAGGAAGCGTGCAGGTAGAGAGGAAGCGTGCAGGTAGAGAGCAAGCGTGCAGGCAGAGAGCAAGCGTGCAGGTAGAGAGGCGAGCGTGCAGGTAGAGAGGCAAGCGTGCAGGTAGAGAGCAAGCGTGCAGGTAGAGAGCAAGCGTGCAGGTAGAGAGCAAGCGTGCAGGTAGAGAGGAAGCGTGCAGGTAGAGAGGAAGCGTGCAGGTAGAGAGGAAGCGTGCAGGCAGAGAGGAAGCGTGCAGGTAGAGAGCAAGCGTGCAGGTAGAGAGCAAGCGTGCAGGCAGAGAGCAAGTGTGCAGGCAGAGAGCAAGCGTGCGGGCAGAGAGCAAGCGTGCAGGCAGAGAGCAAGCGTGCAGGCAGAGAGAAAGCGTGCAGGTAGAGAGCAAGCGTGCAGGTAGAGAGCAAGCGTGCAGGTAGAGAGCAAGCGTGCAGGTAGAGAGGAAGCGTGCAGGTAGAGAGGCAAGCGTGCAGGTAGAGAGCAAGCGTGCAGGTAGAGAGCAAGCGTGCAGGCAGAGAGCAAGCGTGCAGGCAGAGAGCAAGCGTGCAGGCAGAGAGCAAGCGTGCAGGTAGAGAGCAAGCGTGCAGGTAGAGAGGCAAGCGTGCAGGTAGAGAGGCAAGCGTGCAGGTAGAGAGGCAAGCGTGCAGGTAGAGAGCAAGCGTCCAGGTAGAGAGCAAGCGTGCAGGCAGAGAGCAAGCGTGCAGGCAGAGAGGAAGCGTGCAGGTAGAGAGCAAGCGTGCAGGTAGAGAGCAAGCGTGCAGGCAAAGAGCAAGCGTGCAGGCAGAGAGCAAGCGTGCAGGCAGAGAGCAAGCGTGCAGGTAGAGAGCAAGCGCGCAGGTAGAGAGGCAAGCGTGCAGGTAGAGAGGCAAGCGTGCAGGTAGAGAGGCAAGCGTGCAGGTAGAGAGCAAGCATCCAGGTAGAGAGCAAGCGTGCAGGCAGAGAGCAAGCGTGCAGACAGAGAGCAAGCGTGCAGGCAGAGAGCAAGCATGCAGGTAGAGAGCAAGCGTGCAGGTAGAGAGCAAGCGTGCAGGCAGAGAGCAAGCGTGCAGGCAGAGAGCAAGCGTGCAGGCAGAGAGCAAGCGTGCAGGCAGAGAGCAAGCGTGCAGGTAGAGAGCAAGCGTGCAGGCAGAGAGCAAGCGTGCAGGCAAAGAGCAAGCGTGCAGGTAGAGAGCAAGCGTGCAGGTAGAGAGCAAGCGTGCAGGTAGAGAGCAAGCGTGCAGGTAGAGAGCAAGCGTGCAGGTAGAGAGCAAGCGTGCACGTAGAGAGCAAGCATGCAGGTAGAGAGCAAGCGTGCAGGTAGAGAGGCAGGCGTGCAGGTAGAGAGCAAGCGTGCAGGTAGAGAGGAAGCGTGCAGGTAGAGAGGAAGCGTGCAGGTAGATAGGAAGCGTGCAGGCAGAGAGGAAGCGTGCAGGTAGAGAGCAAGCGTGCAGGTAGAGAGCAAGCGTGCAGGCAGAGAGCAAGTGTGCAGGCAGAGAGCAAGCGTGCGGGCAGAGAGCAAGCGTGCAGGCAGAGAGCAAGCGTGCAGGCAGAGAGCAAGCGTGCAGGTAGAGAGCAAGCGTGCAGGTAGAGAGCAAGCGTGCAGGTAGAGAGCAAGCGTGCAGGTAGAGAGGAAGCGTGCAGGTAGAGAGGCAAGCGTGCAGGTAGAGAGCAAGCGTGCAGGTAGAGAGCAAGCGTGCAGGCAAAGAGCAAGCGTGCAGGCAGAGAGCAAGCGTGCAGGCAGAGAGCAAGCGTGCAGGTAGAGAGCAAGCGTGCAGGTAGAGAGGCAAGCGTGCAGGTAGAGAGGCAAGCGTGCAGGTAGAGAGGCAAGCGTGCAGGTAGAGAGCAAGCGTCCAGGTAGAGAGCAAGCGTGCAGGCAGAGAGCAAGCGTGCAGGCAGAGAGGAAGCGTGCAGGTAGAGAGCAAGCGTGCAGGTAGAGAGCAAGCGTGCAGGCAGAGAGCAAGCGTGCAGGCAGAGAGCAAGCGTGCAGGCAGAGAGCAAGCGTGCAGGTAGAGAGCAAGCGCGCAGGTAGAGAGGCAAGCGTGCAGGTAGAGAGGCAAGCGTGCAGGTAGAGAGGCAAGCGTGCAGGTAGAGAGCAAGCGTCCAGGTAGAGAGCAAGCGTGCAGGCAGAGAGCAAGCGTGCAGACAGAGAGCAAGCGTGCAGGCAGAGAGCAAGCATGCAGGTAGAGAGCAAGCGTGCAGGTAGAGAGCAAGCGTGCAGGCAGAGAGCAAGCGTGCAGGCAGAGAGCAAGCGTGCAGGCAGAGAGCAAGCGTGCAGGCAGAGAGCAAGCGTGCAGGTAGAGAGCAAGCGTGCAGGCAGAGAGCAAGCGTGCAGGCAAAGAGCAAGCGTGCAGGTAGAGAGCAAGCGTGCAGGTAGAGAGCAAGCGTGCAGGTAGAGAGCAAGCGTGCAGGTAGAGAGCAAGCGTGCAGGCAGAGAGCAAGCGTGCAGGCAGAGAGCAAGCGTGCAGGTAGAGAGCAAGCGTGCAGGCAGAGAGCAAGCGTGCAGGCAAAGAGCAAGCGTGCAGGTAGAGAGCAAGCGTGCAGGTAGAGAGCAAGCGTGCAGGTAGAGAGCAAGCGTGCAGGTAGAGAGCAAGCGTGCACGTAGAGAGCAAGCATGCAGGTAGAGAGCAAGCGTGCAGGTAGAGAGGCAGGCGTGCAGGTAGAGAGGAAGCGTGCAGGTAGAGAGGCAAGCGTGCAGGTAGATAGGAAGCGTGCAGGTAGAGAGGAAGCGTGCAGGTAGACAGCAAGCGTGCAGGCAGAGAGGAAGCGTGCAGGTAGAGAGCAAGCGTGCAGGTAGAGAGCAAGCGTGCAGGTTGAGAGGAAGCGTGCAGGTAGAGAGGAAGCGTGCAGGCAGAGAGGAAGCATGCAGGTAGAGAGCAAGCGTGCAGGCAGAGAGCAAGCGTGCAGGCAGAGATCAAGCGTGCAGGCAGAGAGCAAGCGTGCAGGCAGAGAGCAAGCGTGCAGGTAGAGAGCCAGCGTGCAGGCAGAGAGCAAGCGTGCAGGTAGAGAGGCAAGCGTGCAGGTAGAGAGCAAGCGTGCAGGCAGAGAGCAAGCGTGCAGGTAGAGAGCAAGCGTGCAGGTAGAGAGGCAAGCGTGCAGGTAGAGAGGCAAGCGTGCAGGTAGAGAGGCAAGCGTGCAGGTAGAGAGGCAAGCGTGCAGGTAGAGAGGAAGCGTGCAGGTAGAGAGGAAGCGTGCAGGTAGAGAGCAAGCGTGCAGGCAGAGAGCAAGCGTGCAGGTAGAGAGCAAGCGTGCAGGTAGAGAGCAAGCGTGCAGGTAGAGAGGAAGTGTGCAGGTAGAGAGGAAGCGTGCAGGCAGAGAGCAAGCGTGCAGGCAGAGAGCAAGCGTGCAGGTAGAGAGCAAGCGTGCAGGCAGAGAGCAAGCGTGCAGGCAGAGAGCAAGCATGCAGGCAGAGAGCAAGCGGGCAGGCAGAGAGGAAGCGTGCAGGTAGAGAGCAAGCGTGCTGGTAGAGAGCAAGCGTGCAGGTAGAGAGCAAGCGTGCAGGTAGAGAGGCAAGCGTGCAGGTAGAGAGGAAGCGTGCAGGTAGAGAGGCAAGCGCGCAGGTAGAGAGCCAGCGTGCAGGCAGAGATCAAGCGTGCAGGTAGAGAGCAAGCGTGCAGGTAGAGAGCAAGCGTGCAGGTAGAGAGCAAGCGTGCAGGTAGAGAGCAAGCGTGCAGGCAGAGAGCAAGCGTGCAGGCAGAGAGGAAGCGTGCAGGTAGAGAGCAAGCGTGCAGGTAGAGAGGCAAGCGTGCAGGTAGAGAGGCAAGCATGCAGGTAGAGAGGCAAGCGTGCAGGTAGAGAGGCAAGCGTGCAGGTAGAGAGGCAAGCGTGCAGGTAGAGAGGAAGCGTGCAGGTAGAGAGGAAGCGTGCAGGTAGAGAGCAAGCGTGCAGGCAGAGAGCAAGCGTGCAGGTAGAGAGGCGAGCGTGCAGGTAGAGAGGCAAGCGTGCAGGTAGAGAGCAAGCGTGCAGGTAGAGAGGAAGCGTGCAGGTAGAGAGCAAGTGTGCAGGTAGAGAGGAAGCGTGCAGGTAGAGAGGAAGCGTGCAGGTAGAGAGGAAGCGTGCAGGCAGACAGGAAGCGTGCAGGTAGAGAGCAAGCGTGCAGGTAGAGAGCAAGCGTGCAGGCAGAGAGCAAGTGTGCAGGCAGAGAGCAAGCGTGCGGGCAGAGAGCAAGCGTGCAGGCAGAGAGCAAGCGTGCAGGCAGAGAGGAAGCGTGCAGGTAGAGAGCAAGCGTGCAGGTAGAGAGCAAGCGTGCAGGCAGAGAGCAAGCGTGCAGGCAGAGAGCAAGCGTGCAGGCAGAGAGCAAGCGTGCAGGTAGAGAGCAAGCGTGCAGGTAGAGAGGCAAGCGTGCAGGTAGAGAGGCAAGCGTGCAGGTAGAGAGGCAAGCGTGCAGGTAGAGAGCAAGCGTCCAGGTAGAGAGCAAGCGTGCAGGCAGAGAGCAAGCGTGCAGGCAGAGAGCACGCGTGCAGGCAGAGAGCAAGCATGCAGGTAGAGAGCAAGCGTGCAGGTAGAGAGCAAGCGTGCAGGTAGAGAGCAAGCGTGCACGTAGAGAGCAAGCGCGCAGGTAGAGAGCAAGCGTGCAGGTAGAGAGGCAGGCGTGCAGGTAGAGAGCAAGCGTGCAGGTAGAGAGGCAAGCGTGCAGGCAGAGAGCAAGCGGGAAGGTAGAGAGCAAGCATGTAGGTAGAGAGCAAGCGTGCAGGTAGAGAGCAAGCATGCAGGTAGAGAGGCAAGCGTGCAGGCAGAGAGCAAGCGTGCAGGCAGAGAGCAAGCGTGCAGGTAGAGAGCAAGCGTGCAGGCAGAGAGTAAGCGTGCAGGCAAAGAGCAAGCGTGCAGGTAGAGAGCAAGCGTGCCGGTAGAGAGCAAGCGTGCAGGTAGAGAGCAAGCGTGCAGGCAGAGAGCAAGCGTGCAGGTAGAGAGCAAGCGCGCAGGTAGAGAGCAAGCGTGCAGGTAGAGAGGCAGGCGTGCTGGTAGAGAGCAAGCATGCAGGTAGAGAGGCAGGCGTGCAGGTAGAGAGGCAAGTGTGCAGGCACACATGCAGTTTCTCCTTCTCTCCCTTCCCCATCCATCTCACCCTCACTTCACCCCCACTTTACCCTCCTTGTCACCTCGTCCCATGGTCATGGAACACAGCAATGTTCCCCCCGGTCTCAATCCCTCCTTTTTCCCCATCCTTCCTCAATTCATTCTCACTCCTGTGGCCTTACCAGCTCACCCCAGGGCCCATGGCAGCAGTGAAGGGCGAAGCAGGCAGCAACGTGCTGCTGGCATCAATCGAGATCATGCAGTGTTTGAGTTTTCTCCCTTTGTTTCCCCAACCCACATCTGGCTCTCACCCCTGTGGCCTTATCAGCTCACCCCAGGGCCTGTGGCAGCAGTGAAGGGCGAAGCGGGAAGCAACGTGCTGCTGGCATCCATAGAGAACATGCAGTACCCCGTCACCATGGACGTGCTGCACACCGTGAGTCACCATTTTGCACCATTAGGCACCGCTTGACACCGTTGGTCGTCCCTGCACACCATGTGTCACCGCATTACACCCCATACCATGTGCCTCCTTGCTGCTGGCATCTATTGAGAACATGCAGTACCCCGTCACCATGGACGTGCTGCACACCGTGAGTCACCGCTTCCCACGGTGATTCACCCCTGCACACTGCTGGCGATTGGCACACAGCAGCTTCTCATTCTGAGTAGTACAAGCCCAGACATCTTGGCATTTCGCCCTCTCTGATTGGCTGCTGTGTTACCACCTTCCCACTCTCTCAACTCTCTTTCCTACTCCACCTACTCTTCCTCCCACTGTTTCTGCCCCCCATAACCCTCCATTTCTCTTTCGCTCTCTGCATGCCTTGCTGCAGGTCTTCTCAGCATATGGCGCGGTGCAGAAAATTGCCATCTTTGAGAAGAGTGCCGGATTTCAGGCGCTCGTCCAGTTCCCAGGTTCGTGCCCAGGCTGATTCCCAGGTTCGTGCCCAGGCTGATTCCCAGGTTCTTGCCCAGCTAAGTGCATGAATTCCTGGTACATCGCTTCTTGGTGACGTTGTGCACATGTGTGTGTATGCCACACCAGAGCCATCCCATCCCACTCTCCACCAATTCTTCCGTTCTCGCACTCTCCCATGCTGCAGACATAGCAGCAGCCACATCGGCCAAGGACGCGTTGGAAGGGCACTGCATCTACGAGGGGGGCTACTGCAAGCTGCGCATCTCCTTCTCCCGTCACACCGACCTCAATGTCAGGGTGAGGTGTGAGGCACGCTGGTGAGGTGTGAGGCGCGGTGGGGAGGTGTGTGTGATGTAAGGCAAGGCATGTGGGCTGGTCGCACTGCATCTACGAGGGGGGCTACTGCAAGCTGCGCATCTCCTTCTCCCGTCACACTGACCTCAATGTCAAGGTGAGGTGTGAGGCACGGTGGTGAGGTGTGAGGCGCGGTGGGGAGGTGTGTGTGATGTAAGGCAAGGCATGTGGGCTGGTCGCACTGCATCTACGAGGGGGGCTACTGCAAGCTGCGCATCTCCTTCTCCCGTCACACCGACCTCAATGTCAAGGTGAGGTGTGAGGCACGGTGGTGAGGTGTGAGGCGCGGTGGGGAGGTGTGTGTGATGTAAGGCAAGGCATGTGGGCTGGTCGCACTGCATCTACGAGGGGGGCTACTGCAAGCTGCGCATCTCCTTCTCCCGTCACACCGACCTCAATGTCAAGGTGAGGTGTGAGGCGCGGTGGTGAGGTGTGAGGCGCGGTGGTGAGGTGTGAGGCGCGGTGGGGAGGTGTGTGTGATGTAAGGCAAGGCATGTGGGCTGGTCGCACTGCATCTACGAGGGGGGCTACTGCAAGCTGCGCATCTCTTTCTCCCGTCACACCGACCTCAATGTCAAGGTGAGGTGTGAGGCGCGGTGGTGATGTGTGAGGCGCGGTGGTTAGGTGTGAGGCGCGGTGGGGAGGTGTGTGTGATGTAAGGCAAGGCATGTGGGCTGGTCGCACTGCATCTACGAGGGGGGCTACTGCAAGCTGCGCATCTCTTTCTCCCGTCACACCGACCTCAATGTCAAGGTGAGGTGTGAGGCGCGGTGGTGAGGTGTGAGGCGGGGTGGTGAGGTGTGAGGCGCGGTGGGGAGGTGTGTGTGATGTAAGGCAAGGCATGTGGGCTGGTCGCACTGCATCTACGAGGGGGGCTACTGCAAGCTGCGCATCTCCTTCTCTCGTCACACTGACCTCAATGTCAAGGTGAGGTGTGAGGCACGGTCATGAGTGGTGAGGCACGGTGGTGGGTGGTGAGGCTAGGTGATGTGTGGAAAGGCAAGGTGGTTAGGTGCACACCCGTGCATGTACATCTTCTGTCGTTCTCTCCCTCTAAATCTCGTTTTCCAAGCTGCCTGCTCACACTCACCCATCTTCCCTCTTTTTCCCTTGCACTGCATTTACCCCCTCATCTCCCCCCCCTATCCCGCCCAGGCCAACAATGATCGCAGCAGGGACTTCACTCGTCCAGACCTCCCCACAGTCGCGCCCATCCCTGCTCCTTCTACCACTGCCACCACCACGGCTGGTATCCTCTCTTCTGCCACCACCACCAATGCCGCTGCCACCCCCTTCACCACATCATCCACACCCATCCTCTCCTCCTCCCCATACAACCCCCCTGCCCCTCTCGCCCCCTCTACCGCCCCTCCTGTCCTCCCCACTCCCGGTGCCCCTGCTCCCTACTACCCCGCGTCTTCCCCTGCCGCCCCTCCCTCCTCTGCGCCGCCCATTCTCAGCCACCAAAGCCGCCCAGCAGCCTTTCCTGCCACCCCTCCTAGAGGGCCCCCTCCCCATGCCCCTCCTCCTCACGCCCCCCCTTTCCACGGTCCCCCTCCCCCCCACGCCGGCCCTCCCCACGGCCCCCCTCCCCATACTCCCCCTCCTTACAATCGAGGTCCCCCTCCCGGCCCCCCTCCCCACGGCACTCCCCCCAGAAATTTCCCCCCCAGCCCTTACGGTCCCCCCGGCCCCCCCCAAGGTTCCCCCCAAGGTCCCCCTTTCCGCGGCCCTCCCCCTCCCGGGCCGTACCCTCCCGGACCTCCTGGTGGGCCTCCTCCCGGACCTGGTGGTCCGGGGCCTGCCGGGCCTCCGTACGGTCCTCCTAGGCCCGGTGGTCCACCCCCAGCGCAGTTCTACCCTCCCCCTGGTGGGCCTTCCCCATATGGCCCTCCTCGTGGTCCCCCTCCCCCCATGTCTGGGCGGGGTCCCCCTCCCCCTATGATGGGGGGCCCCCCTCCCCCAGGTGGACCTCCCCCTGGCCCTCCCCCCCTTGGGCGCCCCCCCCCGCAGCCATTCCCCCCAGGTGCAGGTCCCCCTCCCCCTGGTATGGGGGGAGGTCCCCCTCCCCCTGGATTGCCCCCCCCTCCATACATGGGGGGAGGGGGACCTCCCCCTGGTCCCCCAGGCATGCCTCCCCCTCCTGGCATGGCAGGGGGGCCTCCCCCTCCTGGGTATCCAGGGGGTCCGCCTCCCCCAGGCATGCCACCCCCGCCTGGATATGGCCCCCCTCCCCCTAGATATGGACCAGGAGGACCGCCGCCTCCTGGCTACAGATATTAGAATTTAGGGTCAAGAGTGGGATGGCATTGCTCAAGTGGCAAATGTTAGTGAGATTGCCTGCATAGAGAACTTTCTTTGTTTGGGTCGTATATCATATTACTGATGGTACCGTATCCCTTTGTGTGAGACAATGCTCTGATGCATTGAGAAAAAATGGATGAATTTCCAAATGGACATAAATTGTAACATCATGACATACAGAAATCATTTTTGTTTCGCGTTCTGCTTTAATTTACCAAATCTATTTTTCACTAGGCCACGTCGTGGTGACGTGTATACCCCATCCACCCAGCGCATTCCAGCGACTTGGCAACAAAAATGTAGTGATATAGACAAACAAGGTGCCAGCTGGGCAAGTAAGCGCGCTGTTGGCAGACAATTCAGCTGTTTCGAGCGAGTACCTATGGTGTTCAAACAATTGGCGGGCAAAATTGGGCATATTGTATTTGAAATTTGGCGTTGTCCGTCTCATTCCTACTAAAATGCCGATCTATCATCCTTTCAAGTGTACTTTCCTGCCCCAAAGGCTCCACAATATCGCACAATCTCCCAACGACGTGTCATCTGCGGCGGCCAGGTAGGATTCATCAATCTCCCTTCTGCAATCACCGCATTTCGCTCATCATCGAACCCTGTGCAGCAACCATCCAATCCCCTTTCTCAATCGAGGAGTATATTTCTTGGCGGCAGTCGAGTTCAATTTGTTCAAAGCATCAGTTTCTCCCATTCTTGTGCTCAAGTGCCAGTGTCGCGTTTCTGTCTTTCGTTTGTATCATTCCGCTCTGTCATTCTACTTCATTTTCTAGTGAGAGTTGCAAATCTCGAAGTAGCTGTTACAATAGATTCCTCCCGTATCATCAATTTCTAGTGTACTTACTGTCTTAAGCCGACGCGCCATCTCGCACGCCATGGCGCTGTGCTCGTGTCCCAAGGCGCTGACGAGCAAGGTCGTGTACGCGGACGAGAATTCCGGCCACGTTCATCTCTGCCTACCGTTTTACGTCGACGTCTGCGGCGAGTGCCACCTCTCTCTATATCGCGGATGTTGCTGCAGCGGCGCGCGCACGCTGCACAACCACCCCGCGGAGATTGAGGAGCGGCGCGAGCTGATGGGGAAGGTGTTGGCGGAGCTGATGGCGCGCGCGCAGAAGCGGCGGAAGATGAAAGCGCGCGAGGCCATCGCCAAGGTTCAGGCGGCCAAGGAGGCCAGAATGCAACACGTGGACAAAGGTACGACCGTTGGTTTTTTTAGAAGCCTTGAAATGGAACCACCGTAAGATAAGGCGACGAATCGCCGTAATTTGTTCACTTTAGCTTGATTCACGTGAAGAACGGGCGTGGTTGCTGGATGAAGCCGCACCTGAAATTTCGTAACGTTCTCATCATACTTCTTCCCGTTGAGGGAGCCATGGTTTCCGTATTCATCATGTTTCTCCTTTCCCCATTCCGTGAATGCCAGACGCGTTGATGAGGGCTCTGTCGAAGGTCGACGAATACCCGCCCACCAAGGCACACGCGGTTCACCCCCACGCGGTACGCTGATCTCGGGCCTGTCACGCCTTTCACTATCCGTTTCTTGCCTCTCATTTCCATCTGCGTCGTGCATTTGGGCAACAATATTTCCTCCCTTTCCTCCTCTTCCTCCCTCCTTACCTGCCCCTACTCTCCCCCACCCACCACTTTCGCGATGTCATGTCTGTCTCTTATCTCCCTCACCCGCCGCTGCCATGCCTTTTCTGGTGCAGCCAAGGGAGGTCGTGGCACGCTGCTGGTCGCCTGCCATGGAATGCAGGGCGCAGCGCATGCGCGTGCAGCAGCCACGTGCCGTGCACTGATTGGTCTTACACAGGTGTAACTCCTGTTGTAAATAGATGCTCTCTGCTACTGTAGATGCTTGCAGGTAGGTACCATTGATAACTCTTGGTGTATGCACTGCATGTGACTACTTTATTCTGTACATGGTGGTTAGCATACATTATCCATTCTTTTTGTACCATACGGTTTTCTACTCTGCCTAGTGGGATGCACTGCCTAGTGAAACACACAGCAGGACAAACAAACACAACACACATGATTATGTGCATCACTGAGCCACGCATACAGTACGACAACGAGCCATCTCATTGTCCTTCACGACAGGGCAAAAGAGTCCAGAATGTGTTTCAGCAGCGGCCTGCCATCAAAGAAAAAGGCCTCAGTGCCCCTCACCCTACAAACATGCACAGCACCGTTTGATACCCCTGCACACAGCAGCAGGTGCTGAATATCCGCCTTGTGATCCCCCAGGTCCTCCGGATGCACCACCAGCTCATACCGGAAAAACTTTCCCCCAGCAGAAATCAATTCTTCTGCCCAAATGACAAACGCCGGGGCAGCTCGGGCAGCATGGGAAGTTTGTGAGCGTGCCCGAGCAAGGCTGGGCATGGACGGGAGGGCAGCCTGGGAGGTCTGCTCTCGACCACTAGTCCCCGAAGGCTCGCCCCTCTGACTGGAAGATGATGGGAGAAATCCCCCTGAGCCTTGGCGTTGGGAGGGGGATTGCTGGGATGGTTGAGAGGATGAGTGGGTGGTTGGTGATCCCGGGCTGTTGAAGATAGACAAGAACGTTCCTTTGCCTCTGCTGTTAATGCCACTCTCAGGAATAGCTGTAACCGCAGCAGCAGCAGCAGCAGCAGCATCAGCGGTGGTGGTAGTAACAGCAGCAGTAGATGCAGCAGTGGTAGCAGCAGCAGTGGTAGTCGCAGCAGTGGAACCAACAGCAGCAGTAGCAGTAGTGGTAGCCGGAGGGGCACCAGCAGGAGGAGGCTGGTAAGGTACTGCAGCAGATGCTGCTTCAGGCAATGAGAAAGACACGGATCTCTTAACCCCTTCAGCCAAAACCAGAGGCTTACTAGTGCCCGCACCACCAGCCTTGCTAGTATCCCCACCACTGCTGCCAACCTTGCTGCTTGCGCTCACACCAGCTGCGAGCTCCGGGCAGATATCATCCCACTCGGTCAGCAGGAAATTCATCGGGTCCCCGAATTCGGTCAGAGACGAAATCCCGGACGGGCGGACAGAAAAACAGATAACATCAAGCTCTGCTACAGGGTCGCCGTCTATAGTCACATCGGGGTCACTAAACTTCACCAGCACATGGTCTTCAAACGCGGATGGCAGCTGTTCCACCCAGTTCCTTGGAACACTTAGCGAGAATCCAATCCCACGGTAGGAAAAGCAGGGGATTCCCTCCATTGCCTCCTCCTCGTCGACACTTAGCTGCTCGGATAAGTGCTGGTCTCTAAACGCCCTGCCGCCGAACAGTGGCTTTAAGTAATGCGTGTCTAGCCATTTGAACCACTTGTGGAGGCCGGAGGGGGGGGCGAAAGAGAGTGAGTGGGATCGCTGCATGTATAGAAGGTCGTTGAGGCTACGACCGCCTATAAGGGGGACGTCTAAAGAGGGTACAGTGCGGATGGAATGATGGTGCTCCAGTTGTTCCTCTGCTTCTGCTGCCTCTGCTTCAGTGTGTACATGTGAGTGTGAGTGTGGGTGTGAGCGTGAGTGTGGGTGTGAGTGGGACGGTGGAGGTGAGTGTAAGGGAGTGCTTGTATGAGAGGAACCAGCTAGAGAGGCGCGTGCATGTTTGGGAGTGTGCGGGTGGGCGGCGGAGAGGCCCAGAGCGCGCAGAAGAGGACAAGTGGAGCCGCCCATGACGACGGTGGTTAGCACAACGACAAAGAGGGTGGTGGAGATGATGGCAGGGTTGCGCTGAGGCATGTTGAGGGCGAGGGCGAAGGCAATGGCGCCCCTCAGGCCGCTGAGCCACATCATGAGAATCATGTTGGTAGGGATTTTGTTGGCCCTGGGGTGGGTAGAGGTACACATGGGACACAGAGGAACGGCATAGCAGAAAGGGAGAGAGTGGAGGCATGTTGAGGGCGAGGGCAAACAGCAATGGCGCCCCTTAGCCCGCTGAGCCACATCATGAGAATCATGTTGGTGGGGATCTTGTTGGCCCTGGGTGGAAATTAGGGAAACGCAGGGGGGGACACAGGGGACCACAGGGGGCAGGGGGGTATAAGGGCAGGGGAGAGAGTGGAGGCATGTTGAGGGCAAGGGCGAAGGCAATGGCGCCCCTCAGCCCGCTGAGTCACATCATGAGAATCATGTTGGTAGGGATCTTGTTGGCCCTGGGTGGGAATGAGGATAATGCAGTGAGGCATGGGGGACCACAGGGGGCACAGGGGGTTATAGGGGGGCAGGGAAAAGAGTGGAGGCATGTCGAGGGCGAGGGCAAACAAAAATGGCGCCTCTTAGCCCGCTGAGCCACATCATGAGAATCATGTTGGCGGGGATCTTGTTGGCCCTGGGTGCAGGGGAACGCAGGAGGGGTGGGACACTGGAGGATGTAGGGGCAGGGGAGAGACAAACATTGAAGGCATGTTGAGCAGAGATAAGTAAGGCGTGAATGGGGTTTAGAGGGGAAATCGGAGCAGATAGAACGAGGGAAAGAGACTGACTGAGCAAAGTTGGTTAGTTCTGACTCTGAGTCAACTTGAAAGTCACAGAATGAGAAGGAGGGGCTTACTGAGTGCAGTTGGAGAGGAAGGAGAGAGGGAAGACGTTGAAGGCTCGAGATATGAGGCAGAGAGGAATGGCGGAGAGCAGCAGACCCCAGTCAATCACATGCTGCATCACCACCACCTGCCGGGGCGAGAGATGGTGTGAGACATGGCAGAGAGGGACGGGGATGGAGATGGTATGAGGGGGATGGAGATGGTATGAGGGGGATGGCGGAGAGCAGCAGACCGCAGTGGATCACATGCTGCATCACCACCACCTGCAGGGGTAGAGATTCTATGGGTTTTTGAATATGGTGCGAGAGGCTTGAAGACAGCATGGTGCGTGGCAGAGTGGGATGGCAAGGCAGTACGCATGGTTGGAGGGAGGCAGACATCTCTGCCATCCAAGACCATACGCATGGTTGGAGGGAGGCAGACATCTCTGCCATCCAAGGCAGTACGCATGGTTGGAGGGAGGCAGACATCTCTGCCATCCAAGGCAGGGCTTCACTGGAAATGATCCTAGAACCAACTAGGCACAGCGCAGCACTCACCTGCATGTCCAGCTCAGCGCTTCACCTGCATGTCCAGCTCAGCGCTTCACCTGCATGTCCAGCTCAGCGCCTCACCTGCATGCCCAGGTAGGCAAAGACGAACATCTCTGCCATGAAGGAGAGCGCTTCAAACGCATACTTGCTGCTGATCTTGGACGCATGTGAGATGTTGTAGTACCTGCGCGTGGTGGTAACATGGTAACAGCGTTGCAAATGATTTGCTAAGCCCTGCACTTGGTGAGAGACATAGCCCGAGACGACAACGACGGGGGCCATAAATGGATATTTATCTGCTCTACATATGAGTAGAACACCGTAACCAATAAGCAACACCCATACCATACCCGTAGTGTGCGTTGCAGATGCCACAGAAGAAGAGGGCCATGATGCCGGATAGGGAGAGCATCTCAGCAATGGTGATAGATACTTGATTGCTCTACATGGGAGCTGACACCGTAACACCCATATCGTACCCACAATGAGCGTTGCAGATGCCACAGAAAAAGAGGGCCATGATGCAGGATAGAGAGAGCATCTCAGCCACGGAGGAGGAGAGGTAGGCGGAGACGAGCATGAGGGAGAGCTCGAACTTGATTGCCTCTGCCCTCAAGAAGACTACAAACACCACACATACCTGTTATCTGCATTGCATAGGTTGTGAGGCGGGCATACCCGTAGTGTGCATTGCAGATGCCGCAGAAGAAGAGCGCCATGATGCCAGACAGAGAGAGCATCTCAGCCACGGAGTAGGAGAGGTAGCCCGAGACGAGCACGAGAGAGAGCTCAAACTTGGAGAAATCGCTGTTGATGTCGATGAATCGGAGCATGAGGGCGCAGAGGAGGGACACGAGGATGCCTAGGAGGATGGATCCCACACTTATGCCCAGAAATTGGACTGTTGGGTTGGGGCCGACTCCCGAGGGGAGGAAAGGTAGCAGGGGAAGTGGGGAACCAGGGAATGCAGAGGAAGTTGGGTTGGGAGTTAGGAGGGGGGTTGTGGGTTTCAGCACAAGGAGAGGGGGGAGACGAGCACGAGAGAGAGCTGGAACTTGGAGAAGTCGCTGTTGATGTCGATGAAGCGCAGGGCGAGGGCGCATAGGAGGGACACGAGGATTCCTAGGAGGATGGATTTCACACTGATGCCCAGAAACTGGACTGTTGGGTTGGGGAGAGTGAAAGGGGGAGGAGGGTGGTGGGTGAAGTAGGAGAGAAGTGGGTCATAAGGGGGTCTGGAGAAGCATGAGAGCGCTGAGGAGGGAGACGAGGATTACAATGGGAAGCATGTTCAGTGCTCTCCAGCACCTCTCACAACACCTCTCAAATACGAACGCACCTATGGCAGTGGCGATGCTGGCCATGGAGAACTCCTGATTGGTGAAGGAGGCGAAGGTGCGGAAGAGCACGATAGAGACGGCGTCGTTGACAAGGCTCTCTCCGAACACCAGGTTGTAGAGCAGGGTTGGCGCCTGCACGTCTGCCACGTGCGGGTGAGGCAAGAACGGACAGGGGGAAGCAAAGGTGTGAAGGAGGCGAAGGTGCGGAAGAGCACAATGGAGATGGCGTCGTTCACGAGTCTCTCTCCAAACACCAGGTTGTAGAGCAGCGTTGGCGCCTGCACGTCTGCCACGCGGCAAGGCCAGAAAAGACGGGGAAAAGGTGTGAAGGAGGCAGGGGAGAAGGAATGTCCCCTGACTGATGACTCAGGACTAATGTCCCATAGTCAATTAATGTCTCGTGACTAATGTTTCATGACAAATGTTTCATGACAAATGTCTCATGACTAATGTCTCATGACTAATGTTCCATGTCTATGTCTCATGACTAATGTCTCATGACTAATGTCTCATGAATAGCTTCTCACGACCAATACCTGGCGACATGGTGATACCTTGCAGGATGGAGAGCGTAGCAACAGGGTCAATGGCGGAAATAAGGGATCCGAAGATGAGAGACTCGAGGAGAGGCGAGTCTGACGTCATGTGGGTCACAATGCCAGCTCGGACGAGGGAGTACGTGGCAAGCCCGTACACCAGCGTGGATATGATCGTTCCCACCACAGCAAAGAGGGTGATGGTCCAGAAATTGCGGAAAAAATCCTGCCAGGCAACAGAGAAATGTCAGTGAAAGTGAAACTGGGAAGTAGTCAGAACATCAACAGGTAGAATCTGACCAGAGTTATCTACTCAGGGTTGAGCCTGCTCAAGGTGACTGGTCGACTAAATGCTGACATGCAAGCATACTGAGAGCGATTCTGAATGAAACCTTTTCCAAGAGCCATGTGAATGCTACGTCATTGCCGTACTTTTTTCTTCAAGGCGTATCCGGCATTGAAAATAATGATGGGGAGGAGGCCGTAGAAGAAGATTTCCGGGCTGAACGTGAATGCCAGATCGTCCTCCAGGACCAGCGACAGCACGCCGAACACCATTCCCAGCACCAGCGCCGCCGCTGCCATTCAAATTTAAAACAAATTCATTGTCAGATAGATCATTATAATGGGGAGGAGGCCGTAGAAGAATATCTCCGGGCTGAACGTGAACGCCAGATCGTCCTCTAGGACCAGCGACAGCACGCCGAACACCATTTCCAGCACCAGCGCCGCCGCTACCATTCGATGCAAGCGCAAATTCATTAATCAGATGATTATCAACTTGCCGAATTTGAAGGGGTTTTGGATAGGGTGTGGGTGGTGAAGTGAATTCGAGTGAATTTGTGAAGCGAGAGAAATCTTTGGGATGAGAGGAATTCAGGAAAGTGCCGTGCCTCGCGTTATCCCCGATAGTAGGCTTACAGGATTCAGGGAAGTAGACCCAGTGGTGTTTCTTAGAGATGTAAGCGACGAGCATGGTGGTGGCCATCAGGAAGGAGCACGCGAGAATCTCCGACGACGCGCCCTCTGACAGCACCAGCGACACGCTCGCTGCTGCGTGTCCCACATTTCCCGCATTTCCCGCAATATCCGCGGTTTCGGTTATTCCCGCGATCCCCGCAGGATCCATGGTCGAATTAATCATCGTCGCAAGGTCACACTAACTCGGGTATAAATATCAGAATTCAGGCATGGCAACTTCTCATCAGGCGAATCGAGCGGGCGACACAGCAAGAAACCTCTGCATTCTGTCATCTGGATGACACCTTGATATTAGCTCTCTGTCGAAGTCACACCTTGATATTGCTCTAGCTATGGCTGGATAGCAATTTCTGACCAGACATGGTTCCCTTGGGAATGTCATCCGCTGTCTTCGTTAAAGATTTGAGGGGCGTATCAAGAAATCCCGTGTATTTCTGTACTGGCATCGGGTTTTGCGTATGAAGCCATTGTCACGATACGCACATTGCATTTTCCACTCCATAATAGTGGATCATGCAAACTTTTTCATATTCCAAAAGGTGTACTGTACTCATTGTTGCTAATCGCCCACACCTGGCCCGTATGGTATCAACTGTCATGGTGTTGACAATAAGTCAATATAGAGTAGTATCTGGAAGATCTTAGAAAAACAAATCCACTTTCTGCAACATTTCTCTACAAACGTTTCTTTATCTCATCATAGTTAGAAACCACCATTACCGTAATAAAACCAGTAAACACATACGGTAAGAATCATTCCTCGTCTTCCAGAGCTGGGCGTCCCCTGCCTCGACCACCAAGCCCCCCACCTGGTCTTCTGAACCCACCTACACCACCACTAGCAGCAGCACCACCAACACCAGCACCACCACTAGCAAAACCAGCCCCAGAACCAGCAGCTCCACCAGAGTTGCCCATCCGACCCATCCTGAACCCACTCCTGCCTCCTCTGCCACCCCCACCAGTCCCACCACCCCCAATGCCGTCCCCTGCTTCCATACCCTCTCTTGCTCCCATCTCTTCCAACCCCTCCATGCCTGGACGCCCCCTCACTCTCCCCGCCCTGCTCCTCCCCACCCCACGCCCCACCCTGCTGCCCTCCATTGCATCTGCATCGCCACGCTCCCCAAACGAGCCACTCCGCTGGAACGGACCACCATCCATGCCCCCAGCTCCCATGCCCGAACCTCCCATGCCTGCACCTCCCCTGCCTGAACCTCCCATGCCCAAACCTCCCATGGCCGAACCACCCAATCCGGCACCTCTACCCTTAACACCTCCCATCCTTCCCGCACCTCCTCCTAATGCCCCTCCACCCACCCGCCCATCCCCATCATAGTCATCTACATCACCCCCACCTGCTAATGCTGCTGCTCCTGCACCTCCCATTCCGGCACCTCTACCCCCTACGCCTCCCATCCTTCCCGCACCTCCTGTTGCCCCTCCACCCACCTGCCCATCCCCATCATAGTCATCTACATTACCCCCACCCGGCACATCTGCTGCTCCTGATCCTGCCCCTGCTGCTGCCCCTGCCCCTGCTGCTATGGATGACACGTCAGCGCTGGCATCAACGCCGCTGCTGCTGTCACCACCACTACTCTTCTTAGAAAACCACGACCACAGGCCAGAGCCGCTGCTCCCACTACCACCACCCCCGCCCAAACTGCTGCTGCTGCTAGCGGTATGATTGCCACCTGCTGCCACCCCTGTTCCTGTTCCCTGCCAGCTTTCCATATCCTCCTCCCCATCCTCAAACCCAGACGCCCTGCTGCTCCTCCCCATACCCCCTCCTACAACGCCCCCCAAGCCCCCTCCTCCTAAACCCCGTTCTGTACCCACTCCTGCACTCCCTCCTGTGTTCCCTCCCACGCCCACACCACCCTCCTCCTCCTCGTCCCAATCACCTGCTGAGCCCCCACCAGTTGCTCCACTGGTGCCCCCAACAGTGGCCCCTTCCCCAGCTGAGCCTGTCTTCTTCCCCCCCCCAAACATGCTCGAGAAAAAACCCAGTATCCCCCCAGACGAGCCCGCAGACTTGCTGCTGCTGCTGCTACTGGTATCAGAGCCTGCAGCAACATCATCCTCTTCCATCTCATCTCCGTCCCCGCCCACTCCTCCCGCTCCTCCCGCTCCCCCTGCTCCTCCTGCTGCTCCCCTCACACCTGCTCCTCCGAAACCCCCCATCCCCCTGCCGCCCATACCACCAGCAGCACCACCCTCATCGTCATCATCATCATCATTTCCCCCCAAAGCTCCTATGCTGCTGCTGCGAGGGAAGGAGGAGGAAGAGGAGGCGAAGGGGGTTCCTGCACGCTTCCTGCCAAAGCCCATGGCGCCGCTGCCGCCCAGGCCACCCTCATCATCAGTGTCCCCACTGCAGGGAGGGGGGGGTGGGAGAAGGGGTTGAGACAAACGAGGTTGATTTCAATGTTTGTGATGGATGGAACGGGAGGAGAAGGAAGTTCATGTGCGCTTCCTGCCAAAGCCCATGCCGCTGCTGCTGCCCAGGCCACCCCCGTCAGAAATGCCACTAGAGGGGGGGGGATGGGGCGGAGAGAAGGTGGGGAGGGATGGTGGAGTAAATGGATTTGCTGAGGGAGAGGAGGGAGCATGGAGGGAGAGTAGAGTTTGAAGGGCAAGGAGTATAGAGTGGGGAAGAGGGAGAGATGCGGGCAAGGGAGGGATGGGGGCAAGGGAGGGATGGGGGCAAGGGAGGGATGGGGGCAAGGGAGGGATGAGGGTTGCCCCCATACATAAGACCACGTGCAAGTGGTCGTGTGGTACATGAGACCACTTGCATCACGACCACAGAGTCAAAGCACCACACGACCATGAATGGCACACCTCAAGTCACGGCCCAAGGCGCTTTTAAACGCTCCTCCTTCATTCCATGCCCCCCGTCCCTTGCTGGCTTGACTCGACTTTCCCCCTAACCGCCCCCCCCTCCCAACCCCCCATGCTGACTCCCCATCCCCCTCGTCCTCCTCTTCCTCCTCCCCCTGCCCCACCCCCCCCGCCCATCTGCCTCCGCCTTTCTTGTTCCCTTTCCTCCTGGTGCTGCTGCCGCTTTTCTTGCTCCTTGCCCCTCGCCTCACATCCTCCTCCTCGTCATAATCATCCTCGGTATTGTCTAGACTGTCTCTCCGCTTTCCTCTCGTCTTGCTCCCACGCTTCCCCTTCTTCCCCTTCCTCTTCGTCCGCTTCTTCTTCTTCCCACGCTTCTTCTTCCCTTTCCTTCCGCTCCTACCCCTCCCAACCGCACCCAACGCCTCACCCTCCTCCTCCTCGTAGTCCCCGCCTCGCATCCCCCCTCGTTTCAAGCCTCCCCTGCCCCCGCTAAGAGCACCAATCGCATCAATCACTTGCCGGCTGTCCCTCGGATACAGCGGATCTTCTCCATTGTCATCATCAGAATCTTCTGTGAACCGTCGAGGAAAGTTCGACCCACCGAGCCCTGCACCAGCGCCGTCCACGTCATCATTTCCCCCCCATCCGGACCGCGCTCCCCCTCCTCTTCCGATACCCTTCCCGGATTTCCAGGAACTAGCTCTTCCAAAACCGGAGCCTCCTATACTGGAGCCTCCTAAACCGGAACCTCCTATGTCAGAATCCAAGTCCTGGTCACCGTTCCAACGGTTCGGTTTCCCGCCAAAACTAGGCTTTCCGAACGCGGATTTTGACGCGCCGTCAATGCCGCCGCTCCCACCATCAAAGCTGCCGTCGCCGTCAGAGAAAGCAGGCGGGCTGCCGGCAGCCACGCCTCCGTAATCGTCATTGCCGTACGACGCGCCGTCATCGTCGCTGGTGCTGACACGTGTCACCTCTCGCGAGCGGAAGGCCGAGAGGCCGAGGAAGAGCGAACCAATAAGAATCAAGAGCGCGATTGCGAGAAGGACGGCGCAAGACGTGACGGAAAGCCGGGAAAGGGGGAACGGCAGCGGCAGATTTCGACGGAAAAAGGACGGCTGGTCGCCGCGACCGTCGGGAATGGCCCATTTGAAACCCTCGACGCGCGAATTGCTGCGACGCTCGCGAGTGTTCGCTGCTGCAGGCGATTTCATCGCATTCTAAAATCGTCGCTCGCTGAGAAATTGGTTGGATTGCATTGGCTGGTGGGGTGAAAGTTAACGATAGATATATGTCAATGCGCCCAAATATGTGAAATGAGATAAGAGTCTGGCGTCTTAGATCAGGTGTCGCATGCAATGCGATGCGAGCTAAGGGGCGATTCGGGCGCGGACGATGCGGGTCAAATTAACCGCTTGTCAAAGGAGGTCAAGGGAGCACGGAATTGCAACGTAGAATGTCAATGTCAGCGACTGAAACGGAATGGGACAGCGGAATCGCGCGTCGCAGATTCACCAGCCTCGGAGCAGATACTAGGATACATTTCAGATTCCTAACAAAAGTAGTACGAGGTAGTTGGGTTTCTGGAAGGTGTTTATGCGGCTGTTGTTTTGGTTAGTTGAAGAGAGGGGTGGAGTGGGATTCGCTGCGGTAGGTTCGTCAGGTCAGTACTTCCCTACTATTGATGTGAAAGGAAATTTCATTTTCCTTACGTCGCGTCCCCGCTCAGCGCGTACACCACTGTAGCACCACAGTCAGCACCGTTACCACTCGCAAACCCTCGCATCTACAATCCTCCCGCCACCTTCGCACGTCGCACCCCGACCTCACGGCTCGGCGGGTAACCCGCGCTCCGGGCCTCCGCTTCGACATTCTCCCAAACCTCAGTCCCAGGCCCGTCGCGCAACAACCACAGTCCATTACCGTTACCACTGTAGTTTCACTATATATTATTCGCTCATGCCTTCGCTCATTGTACTCTTGCTTCGATAGTGCAATCCTCGCTCGATCACTCAATTGCACTCGTAACACTTGGTATTCAGAGCCTACGATCTCTTCCCGAACCGCACCCACACCTTCGCTTCCCCACTATCTCAATTTTTGAGGGGGGTAGACGTCTCTCAGCGACACAGCACCGCCGCTCGTAGTGCTCTCTCGTAAGCACGCACGGCCACGACAGAGGCTCTCGCTGAGCTTGTCCGACACCCACGCCATGGCCGAATTCACTCTCGCAACGTTGACGCAGGAGCAACTTGACCGTCTGGTGCGCCAAGTTGAAGAATCGGCGCTCGAAATTGCGACGCTCACGGCGGAACGTGACTCTGCGTGTCAGCAATCCACGGTGAATACTCCAACGCCACCACACGCACAGATAAATGCATCTGCACAATCGGACGAGCCGATCGTCATTTCGTCCGGCACACCAACACAACACGACAACGTGGGACAACGCTCAGGTGCAGCCAGTGATGGCGCCGCCCAACCGATGCCTGGCATGGGGGGAAACAGGGTCGCACCAAGCCCGCGGGGGCCTCGTGAAGCCCGTCGGCACGTGGAGTTTGCGGCGACAAGTGGTGAATATGCCATTATGGCACCAATGCCACTCAAGCCGCAACGCCCGCCCTGCTTCGACCCGAGCCAGCGTGGAGGTCCAACGGTTCAAACGTGGGTCTTCATGATGAACGACTTCTTCGACGCGAATTACGTCGAGTCGGACGCAGAGAAGATCCGATATGCCGTCTCGCTGCTAACGGGCCCCGCCATGGACTGGTGGCGAGTCATCGTGACGTCGCCACGCGCCTATGAGTCACCGTCGCAAGAGGAAGGGCCCACGGGTCCAACTGTCACCTGGATTTCATTCAGCGAAACCGCCTAGTACAGCACGTGGGATGCGTGGTGCGCAGGGCTTCGGGCGCGCTTCGAGCCAATCGCGGCTTCTATTTCGGCACGTCAGAGACTACGTACTTGGCGGCAGCTCGGGTCGGTTCAAGACTACACGAGTGGTTTTCTCGCATTATCCGAGCAAGTCGGCTACATGCACGAAGCGGAGCGGGTGGACCGTTACGTCGGAGGGCTGAAGCCGGACATATCGCATGAGATCATGCTACGCGGGCTCTCGAACTTCAACGAGATTCTCGCGCTCGCCGAAAAAATCGACATTTTGCGCCGTCCGAGACCGGGGTCCTACTACGGACATCGTCCTCGGGGACCGATCGAGCACGCCACCGTACATGCCGTTGCGACGAATACAGCTGCCGCGCCGTTTAAGGGGCGCTGCTTTGCTTGCAATAGGCCGGGCCATCGCAAGAGTGAATGCCCAGAGGAGCTGAGGCGCCGCGGAGCAGAGCAGGGGAGGGAGTCTCCAAGGCAGGGAAACGCCAGTAGTCAGTAGGAATCGGGCCAACTACTGACGAGACTGCCTGCTTGCCCAACCCCACCGACCCTCACCGAGTCACAGCACCGATTCACGCTATCGATCGGACTCGGACGAATAAGGAGGGTACATCGACGGATTGCCCAGTACTGATCCACGGGAAAATACAGGGAGCGGCAGTGAAGATTTTTATCGACGGAGGAGCAAGTCACAGTTTAGTTAATACCCCAACCGCACGAAAACTGCAACTGACACTTAGCCGTTGTTTACCTGAGATAGACGCACGCTTAGTCGACGGCACGCCACTGGCCATACGGGAAAGGGTGGAGAGAGTCAAAGTCCGCTGCGGGGGAAAATTCGGATTTACACAGGAAATGCTCGCAACAACACTAGATGGGCACGACATTTTACTGGGACGTGATTGGCTGCGACGGTATAACCCGCGAATCGACTGGACGACGGGTAGCTGTGTGGAAAATAGAGCGAGAAAAGATGATGTGAGAATAAGCGAACAGGAATGGATGAACTAGCAGTGAAAATGAGTACAAGTAGGAAACCCTAGAATTGTGTACCCCCTATAGGCTAACCCACTGTAGCCTACACAAGCATAACATATATAATGTTTGACACACCCCCATAGGAAAAGTGGGGGAGAACAAGGGGTCACAAGACCAGTCAAGCAAAGCAAAGCAAGCTCAGGGTGGATCACAAAGTCACCACACAGTCCGAGCACAAGAGCAGGGCCAGAGGCCAGTTCACATGCAGGAGTACAGACATATATATAAAACTAGACAAGCAAGAGCAGGTATATATATATGTCACAGTACAAGTGAAGTCAAGAGGAGAGCAAGTGAGGCAAGACAGGTACAAGACCCAGCTGGGTGCAAAAGCGCTGATGGTCACAAGGCGCGAGTGCCTTGGTGAACACATCAGCAGTGTTGGCCTCAGAGGCCACGTACGCAAGTCGCAACTGACCACGCTGCTGCAGCTCACGAGCAAGGAAGTAGCGGAGAGCAATGTGCTTCGTTCTGTGCTCCAAGCGCTGCTCTCGACACAAGGCCAGCATGGCCTTGTTGTCTACGTACAGCACTGGAGGAGAACGAGGCGGCTCTCCAAGGTCAGTCAGCAGGTAGGTGAGCCAGCGAAGCTCCTGTGCAGCCATGGCCCCGGCGTAGATCTCAGCCTCACAACTGGAGCCGAGAACCGAAGACGAGCGAGTAGACCGCCACGAGACAGAGCCGGAACCAAGGCTGAAGGTGTAACCCTTGTGACGACCGCTGCGTAGCCTGGTCGTCAGCCCAAGAAGCGTCCGCGTGGCCGGTAAGGACCACTGGACTCCGCCCTCCAAGCACAAGCCCCATGCCCGACGGTACTGCACAGGTAGCGCAATACCCTCTTCGCTGCAGCCATGTGCTCTGGTCTGTGTCTCCCAGGAGCAACATAGCGTGCAAGAATGCTCAGAGGGTATGCAAGGTCAGGTCGTGTGCAGGTCATCAGGTACATGAGGCAGCCAACAAGCTCTGCATACGGACCACTCGACTCTACGGACTCATCCGAAGGCAGAGC